TTTTTTTTTTTTTTTGTTCTGTTAATACAGACCTTGTTTTCTTGGTGCACTGTCGTCCTGAATCCTGTTCCTATCAAATCGCAACAATATTCGACAATCGCGACAAGATAAAAGCAAAATTAGGACTAGATGGCAAAAAGCATTTTCACATAATGCAGTCATGGTGGCTAAAGCAACTGCAACACAAGAACCAGTCATTACCACAACTTAGAGATGTGGAAAATCCAGCCTACAGTGGTTTTGAATTTTTATTTTGGAGCAAGCACAGCAACAAAAAAAAGCATTTCTATTGTTTTTTGCTCATAAGCTTATCTATAGACGTCAGACTTTGCCCGAACGGCGCTGCGAAAAACGCGTCCACCATCTTCGACACGCCAGCCAATGGGTAGTGCAAAGAGTGCAAGTGAAGATGCATAGCCCTCCTCTTTCGTTAGTCTTAGGGCGCGGTTTCCTGAAAATCAAGGACCTGCCAAGCTTTTTCCTTCAATCCAACCTTGCCACAGAAAAGTAGGCAGCTCACAAAAACAAACTGCGGGTACACTGCGAAAGGTGTTTCAGTTATTTTGGCGTACTGCAATCGGCAATTTAAGTGCAACCGAGGATCGCATGAGATCGAGTTCGAGGCAAACACTCGGACGTGAATTCTGTGATACCTAAATGCACTAAATGTCGGCATACACATGGCGCCAAAGTGATGAAGTGCACACATGAGCAATATATCATATGATCACTGGTATAAAGCTCGCTTTATCCGGCATGAATAGCCCTGGCAATTTTTGCTCTTGCAGTTGCATTCTCCATCGATCTCTCGCCTCATGTGCGTTGAACTGTTTTATTATGCATGCTAGGATGTTCTGTTGATGGTTGCTATCCGTTTGTATATACTGCAAATGGGGATACATGCATGTCCACTTTCTCGTTGTACAAAGAAAGACAAAACCGAGGCCTCCGAGATAGCTCGGGCAATCGCAGAGACCAACGGCAAGAAAAACCTGATAGTGGTCGTGATCATTTCGCGATTTACCTGTATGAACTACGTGTTCAAATTTCCTAGTTAAAGCCGGAACTTAGAGCCTTTAAATAAAGCCTTACGGGTGTAATGCTGTGTGGTGGCGACAACTTCAGATTACCGGTGGTTGCGACGTGTGCGATGTTTGTCATGCGTTTCACCTGTCTACTGCTTCACAGCGCGCACCGCGGTCAAAGGCTCTGTTAAGCCTCATAAAGTTACCACGGTTCTCTGTCAAGACTACTCAAATCAATAACAGGAGACCTAGATTATCAGACTTTCTCATGCGAACAACTGTGGAGAATGTGAGTATTTCACTTACCTAACACCTTCGCAACAGCCCGTATCTAGGGCTCTCGCCGTTCTGCTTTGCTAGAGCTGCAGAAATCAGTAAAACTAGAGTCCCTCACGTCCCTGGCAATTCACAACGAAACAGTAGCAACGAATGGGGTCTTTTTTCGTAGAGTGTTGAGCTGTTGCATTTGCTCTTGTTTTCACCGTCGTTATGGCGAGAGAACCAGCAAGCACTTCACGGCGGTTCGGTGACGTGTCGGACTAGTGGAGAGTAATTGGTAGCTCTTTTTCGGAGTGTTCAATGTGCAAATACACCTAATATTTAGCTTAGTCGTTGTTTCGTACACTGTAGTGGCACCTGGTTGCGCAGCTAAACTGTGCAGGGGAGTCAGCTTTGCACTACTCAAAACAGAGTCAACAGATGGCCCTGCGTGTCTGCAAAACTCCAGTCTGACGTCTATAGGAGGTCTTCACATGACATTATAAGCAAGGCATGCTAACGTGGCAGCCACCAAAGCCACGGTTGTGTATGCGGTTGCATCAGAGTGAAACTTCAACCAAGGAGCTCGGCTGTACATGTTGTTTGGTATATTTGCTCATGACATCAGACTGCCATATGTTGGATGGCTGAACAACCACAGCTATGAGCTATGTTGGCCAGATGCAGGCACTCACTGCTGCTGCCTGGTGAGCTCAGCTCGGTGAATACCCCAAGCATGAACACCAATCATTTGAATGCACTGCTCTGTTTTTTGTCGGTTCTGAAAATACACAGTACATTGTCGGCATACACACGACTGTTACGTCTAAGTCGACCATTCTTACGATGGTAGTGCCACATGAGGTCTGGCTGCAATCAGTACTCGCACGTCTGATAGAAAAAGCATGGTGGACTGACAGTGCAGGTCACCTCGCTTTATTTACAAAGCATGAGGACCACTAACTACTCACATTGTGCTGCAACAAAAAAATATAACATGATGCATATGCCAATATCCTATTTTACCCAGAGAGAATGTGTCTTGCCTTCCCCTCCTCACAATTTCTCTATAAGAGTCTCACCAACATACTGCAGTCATGTTACCCTGAACACAGAAATGCAACATCAGCTGTATACACTCAATTAGACTACTAATGAAATGAAAATATGCTGCAGCAAGTGTGTTGCTTTCACCATAATTTATTAAAAGAATGACATGGTTAAAACAGGAAAAGAAGGAAACTTGTAGCATCTTGCTACTTTTAACGCAGTAGACCGCAACTAGTATCTTCCATTCAGCCCCTATGCTGTATCACACTTCAAAACAACCCCAAGAGGACACCAGTTTTACGCGCAGAAACCGGGAACAGGTGAACCTCGAAATCGATCTTCAACGATGGAAGATAAGTAACAACCAAAAACATGTAAACATGTTTTTGACTGTTTTTTATGCTTCCGACACCCCGCCGAAATGCACGTCTTCCAGATTCGCTCTCGAATCTCGCGAAAGCCACACTAGCTGCGTTCTCCGCAACAGTGCAAAGTAGCCAGAGAATGCAGTGCTCTGACTCACGGAGGCGCTTTCGTCGACCCGCAGCTGGAACACTGCCTTAGGATTGACCGATGTCACAAGTGACAAGGCAAGCGCAGCTCCGTCGCGCGCGCGAAGCTACGGGGGCCCATCATGTGGAAACGGCGGGACTGAAGAGAGTGCGCGATCATCGATATGTAAGGCGAGCGAACACGGGCAAGACGACTTACCTGAACGGACGGAGCTCCTGGCCGGGCAGCTAGCATCTGCGGAGCCAACCGCACAGGGCTGCCAATGACGACCCGGGGCGCCAGCGTCTTCTGGCCGACGACGCCTGGCGCTCCGGGCCGGCCAGGGTTCACGTTGACGATCTGCACGCCCGGTGGTAGGATGCTGGGACTGGACACAACCTGCGTGACAACGCTAACGGGCTGCGGACCGGCCTTCGACGCCTGAATGACGCCCGCAGCGGGCGACGAGCAGCGCAGGAACTCTTGGCCCACCGAGGCGGCGGTCGGCGGCTCCTGCTTGATGAGAATCTGCGGCTTGAATGCGGCCTTCGGATCCTTCGGGTCGACCACGATGCGTGGTTTGGTGGGTTGACTGATGATGAGAGGCGTTTGCTGCGAAGCCACATTCGCCAGATTATGAATGGCACTGAGGCCAGGGGTTGTGGCGGGCGTATGCGGGCTGGATCGGATAGCAGTGCTTCCGTTCGGAACACCCTGTATTTTCACATTGCCCCGTTGCTGAATAACGGCGTTATTGACGGCAGCCAGATTGGCCGCGTTAAAGTGGCCCTGCGGCGAATACACAATCTTTATGTCCGAGTTGCTGATCGGGCGCACGAGCGATGTGTTCAGCAAAGCCTGCTGCGTCGTGCCAGTAACTTGGTTTATGTAGCCACTCGCTGGGAGAGCGCCAGGCAAAGTCACCATCACTGTGTTCGTTGAACTGGCCGGAGAAGACGCGCAACTACTGACGCCAACAATATGAGACGTGGTCGCAATCGTCTTTCCAAAGTTCGACACCACGATGCTCGGGCATGAATTCGCAAGCGCTGCAGCCACACCGTGTTTTTGTCCATCGTGCTGCAGACGCTGGAGACCGTCCGAAACTGGCACACTATTGACGTGATTCGTAGTTGCTGAACTGACGCTGAGTTCTTGATTGGGAGCGTGAATTCCAGATGATGAGAGTTGTGACTCTAAAGACCCTACTAATTCGCTTACTACTGACTCATCCACATCTGTGGTCAGCATTTCCTCCAGCGATTTGGCTGACGCCATTTTCGAGTTACAGCTGAACAAAATAAAGTACGCATGCGTGTCCCCGCCAACAGAGAATTGTGGGTAGTGGCGCGCTAATACCACTATCCAGCATGTTTTGTTCTGGCAAAATAAATTTTACAACAAGCTTAAACATAAATTATATTAAATAAATAGTTGTCAATTTAAATTTTTACATTTTTGGTAAAGTTTTTTGTGCGTATAGTAGAAGTATAACGTATTTTACAACTATGTTTTATTGAGACAAGTACAAGTATTAGGACAGTATTACTTTGCATACTGCTTTCGATGGTGGCGCCTCCTCAGCCGGTTGCGTAAAAACGGGTTCAAGACCGCCATTTCCTCATCCCATGATTAGACCCCAATTGTGGCTGTTAGGCTAGGGTAATCTATTGTGATCGTGTTGGCAGCACGTTATTTGTTCCAGTGTGCACAATGAGTGCCGGTATACCGTACTTAGGCAGCAAAATAAGCCTAATATCAAAGTCAGAGATTCGGTATGAGGGCATTCTGTACACAATTGATACCAAGGAGTCAACCGTTGCTTTGGCTAAAGGTGAGTGTCGGCGTCCTATCTTCCTAGTGCTTTGAGCGTTAGTCTTTGGCTGTATATATGTGCACAATTGTGCAAAATGTATATTGGTGGCCGTGGTCGTTTTTCAAAAACGTTCAGAATTTTCACGTGCCTTCTGTTTGCAGAGGACTGCACAGTACCAAGTGGAAGCAGTAGTTGTCGCCGCTAACGAACGCATCCTATGTTTTAGATTATCAGGTGCTACAAAAGTAGCGCAGAGTACAATTGTGGTCGGGGGAATTTGTAGACAAGTCTCTTTGCAATTGTTTTAGGGAAATGAAAAAAAAAAGAAGCTGGAAGTTGTGCAGGTTTCATTCTTGCGTTGTCATTTTTAGGCTTACTGCTGCGGTACGTTATCAGAGTGAAACTGGCACATAGTTTTGCAAAACGTGCTACGGGCATGCCAGTGTCTGCATATCAAAGCACAACGCCGCTGAACGCATGCACGCCCAGGTTTTTGCTTACTTGCTCGTACGTTTGCAAGACTTGACGCGAAATGTTCATAGCGTTGTGCAGCTACCCCTCTCCCTCTTTGTTATGAAATAGACAACCCCGTTTTTCACACTTGTGCATTGCATTTGCGTCACGCTTAGTTTTCCTTGTAACATGTATTGTCATTTAGCTGGTTCGTCACAATTTCCTATGCGCATTTGCTTTACAGTAAATACCGTCTGGCTTTCCAACTTGCCGCTGTTACATTTCGTAATGCGTTGCCCTCTGCGCGTGAGCACGTGCTTTTTATTCCCTGGTTCGTGTTCTCGCTGATGTGGGGCAATGATTGTGTGCAACCGTTGCTTTGCTTAATCAAAATCTCGCACTAGTTTTGTCTTGCAATTGTCTTCGTGAAGGCTGCGGAGTTCAAAATGTCGGAGCCACTTTTCATTTGATGTTCAAGTTGACATGGCCATTATTGCTTAGGTGTCAGTCGTACTTCCGGCATCCTTCATAGTTTACCAGTTTACTCTGACGTTTGTTGTGACCCAATAACACTGCATATCTCGACTATTGACCCACCTTGCACCTCATTTGGGCAATATTTCAAGGAACCCTTCAGCACAATTATCGCATTGCATTTTCGGTGCTTATTCTGGTGTACTGCGAGCAGGAGCGCCTGGAGACTGTTCATAAGAGAAACGGCCTTCTGCTAGAACCTCTGCAGCAGATTTCTGGCTTCAAAGTAGTGCTTAATCATGCAGCACTGTTGTTCCAATTTCCTTGACACCCCATGTTGAATGCAGTGGACATGTAGTCAAATGCAGGCAACCGTAGTCCATCCTGCATTTGATTGCCAAGGGTTAGTTTTCAACCCCTTGCCTGCCGAAGATGAGCTAGGCTTATCCACACTGACATAAACATTTTCTAGCACCGCAGTTCACCTACATTCTCTTAGCTGTGTCCCTTGGCTTCAACACATTGCACACCAAAATTGCGAAAATGTGCTCAAAGCATGCGTTTCAGCAGAGAAAAACTTCCTTCTTGTAACCAGAATTGACAATTCGCAGGAAAACTACTGTGCATGAGCAATAGCGGCACAGCTAAGAACCCTCTACTGGTGTTTTGGTTGGAAAACATCTGCCCTCAGTCATGCATCACTGTTTTGCCTTCATTGTCCTTATTGAGTTTTCGCTGCTTTTGTCGAAGCAAAACAGAGAAATGAGCTCTACCTTTGACAGGTTTTGGTCGGCGAGGCTATGAGCTGAAAAGAGGTGCTCGGATAACTGCATGTGAAATGTTGGCAGAAAAGTCTTTATTGAAAATGAGTGTGGCGCACGCGACTCTCCGTGGGTGCCATACCAGTGGCCGAACTAGCTTTCAGATCTCGTTGGTGTACCGTGGCAGCACATAAATCTCGCATTAGCGTTGCCACACAATACTTGCATTAATACGCGAGGATGCGCTCTTGTGTATCTATGTACCCCATTATTCATAGAAGCACGAGTGAATTAATAATAGCAATAGTGGCAGCTACATCTGTAGTTCTTTTATGTTTAATAAGAGAACATTCTGTTATGTGAAGAATCACATGTAGCGTATTGGGAAAGTGTATTCATTATTACATCGTTCTTTGACACTTTGGTGATTTTGAACTGAGAGGCAGTTCTATTCAAGTGAACTAGACACGCCTGTGATACGTTCTACTTGTATCTATAACAAAACATAACCCGCTAATGGCAAACACTGTCGTTTTCACACAAACCGCACCTCAGGCGGTGCGCAAGTCGCCCTCACCGTACCTAGCTCGTCGGACAATTCAAGGGTCGACTTTAAGTGTATAACATAGTTCTTCCTTGAAGGAGCAGGAGTGAGGAGCTTCGTGAACCATCGAGGTGGCGAAGTACATGTACATGTATTGCCTCACTTGGTTGTTGCTCAGCCTGAAACACGAGAAATCCTTGTTTTACAGTGTATACAAACATAAACGACATTGTTTCCTTTTTTTTACTATCTTGTTTCAATAATGGGCATGAATTTTTGGCCCTGAAGCAAAACAAGTGCGTTTGAACCGCTACACAATGCCTTGAGCATGTTAGTTGGCAAAGATGTTTTCAAACCAAAAGCACGAGTGAAGCTTTCCTGTTCACCTGTCGGGAGGCGCTCACTTTTCCACAAATGCTCAATTGGAATGGTGTCTGTCCTCTGAGAGTGTGTGCTGGCTATATCTTCCTTCAAAGCAATCTGTTCGTTTGCAAAGCTGTGCTAAATGAAAAATTTGAGTTCTCCTGAGGGGGGGGGGGGCAGACTACACATAGCGGCAATATCTGATCTGATTGCCCGATCTATACTACGTCTTGCCGTATTCGTAGTACATGCACTTAGGTGTAGGGAAACCCCCCACCTTGTGGCACATCCGAGGTTTTTTTCGTGGACTTGCTTGCTCCTGCACTTTATTTCTGAAATTTTGTACATTATCTGCTCTATGACTGGAGAGGTTAAAGTGTTTTGTGCAGCACAGTCAGTCCTTTTAATATATTCAACACTTTGCATGCAACTTCAAATAGAGTATCTTAGAATGATGTTATCCACGTATTTTTCTATCTCGCTTGGCCTTAAACAACTTGGCAGGGAAAGGGTCAAATGTCTTGCTTCAAATGTCAAATCTCTACATTGGATACTGCATTTTCCACTGCTATCAAAGACAGTCGAAAGAACGTCGCAGGGCCCCACTGAAACCCAAACTGGTTTCAAAGACCACAAGTGACTTCGCTTTCAGCTTGTCCCAAATCTGTTACCTATAAACCTTGCAAGCTCGCGCTTACAACTAGTAGGTGCTACACATGGCTCCGTCCATTTTTTTTTTTTTAAGAATATATGCTGTACAATATTGAGAGAATATATGCTGTAGCATCAACAGTATAGCATGCTGGCTGGTAAATGGCAGGCTCCTTAGTTCGGTGTGCTATTACTTGGCCATTAGCATTCACTCTTCTAAAGTCTACTCTTGACAACCTCCGAAGCTGAATGAGCGCAGTGCAGGTTTTTCACGAGTAGCCTACAAGGTTCTATTGAGACATGTGTCCTCAAGTTCGGTCATTTTCAGTTCACCAAGTAAAATGGTAGTATCACCCCATGTTATCGGGTGATACCGCACTCCACGAGCCTAGATTAGATTCGGCTACACTTGCATTCACTCAACTAGGCTCATTTAAGTTCAACTTGCCTTAACGAAACAAAGGCAAGCTGAAAACTTAATTTTTCTTTGCTTGGCTTCATCGGGTTTTGTGAAGCTGGCTACGCTTAGTTATGCTTAGAAACCGGTATAAAGACGCGAACCCGGCGCTGGAAGCAGCGTCGTTGTAGCTGCTACGTACAAATTTGGTGGAGCAAAGGCCGCGACACCCTGTTGTCACTTTGGCTACAAGCACATCAAAGAGAGCGACGCGAGAGGCTTACTGATCCAACTGTTTGCGCATGCGCGCCGCAGCAGGCCTCTTGTCGCTAGATAGCGCTAGATGCTTACAGCCACGCAATGCTGTGGTCTGCGCACTTACGCTCACGCCTGTACATTTCTGTGTAGAACAGTACATATTTGATTTACTCTGGCAACCTTGTCATATGCTTGTCTTGCTCTAAATGGCTACGAACATCTTGTGTGAAGGCAGCTATGCATTTTTGCTTGACCACCCCTAGGTTAACCAGTGACCTTTGATTTCATGCTTTTTATGTGCAGTGCGGTCCTTTGGCACGGAAGATCGCCCTACTGATCGGCCAGTGGCACCTAGAGATGAAGTTTACGAGTACATCATCTTCAGAGCCCATGACATCAAAGACCTCAGAGTGTCGGAACCTCCTAAACCGCAGTCGACATTACCTGGTGGCCTAACAAATGATCCTGCAATTGTTCAAGTAAGTCTGTATTTGTTCTGCATGCCCTATAAAAAAAATGTTAAGTGCCAAACGGTTTTTCACCAGCACAATGCTTCTTTGGAACAGTGCACATACCCGCATTTTAAATGGTCACTGCTGACAAGTTGTTAATGAATCTGTTTAACATTTTTTGGTGAATCTATTTAGTGGCAGGAGCGAATGTGCGAGTGTAGCACGAATGCTAAGAGAGCAGAGACTTAACGGCTGTGGCATGTGTATTGCGGTAGTTTGGCGGCGAGAGATTTTCGGTGTTCAAAATAATGCCACCCTGGCCAAGCACTTACTCTCTCCTCGCTCAATTTCACAGCCATCATTGCCTTGCATACTCTCCGTAAAAACTGTTTTGTTCATGCAAACCAGGTGTTCGGTTTACGGTGGTTTTTAAATCAAGTTCACTATTTATACAGTGCTGTACTTACTTTGGCGTAATTGCACTGGTATCATTGATAATCAACTATTGTGGGCTGCACAAAGGACACAACAGTGTTCATACCAAATTACGATCGCGTAGTGTTTCGGTTCATACATGAATCTTGCTCCACGTGAACAGAATGCAGAACTATTCTTAAGGTAGGTTTTATCTTCATACCTCATTACGCAACTACATATGTTCTTTAGCAGCAAAGCTCTTTTAGAACATCACTGCACTATAGAGTGCAGTGACGTTCTAAAAAAAACTCGCCGCACCCTTGCCAAGCAACGCACATGCTCTGCAGTGGACTGTTGAATCATGTTGCCTCGTATGGGTTGACGGAACTAAAAAAAAAAAAATGCTAAAAATTGGTTTCACCGGTGAACTTCTGCTTCAGGGTGTCTACCAACCATGTAGACTGGACATGCGAACACATACACAAAAGAGCAGCAAAGACACCGCAATTACCACACTGAAAAATCTCTTAAAGCTGCTGAAAAGGGCAATTTGATGCCCAGATTCCTTGCTCAAGTCAAAATCGGACAAACTGCGGCAAGCCGTCATTATTGCTTGGTGGCAGCAATTGTATGCGGCAAGTCGCCATTATTGCTTGGTGGCAGCAATTGCATGGTCTCTCCCGGACCTTCATCGGGAGCATGAACAGCGTGAGCAAAAGCGGGCGGTGGTGCGGCGGCGCACAGCTCTACCACATAGCAACACCAACACTGTTAAAGAGGGTGTTAAGACAAAATGTCAATCTCCATGACTGCCAACTTGTGCACACAAGGAATGCAAGAAGCTGCCCCAACCGGTCTGTACACAACTAAACAAAACAAAAATAAATTTGGACGATCTCCTCGAAGAACCCTGATGGGATGCAAAGAGGCAGCGTTTTGCCTGAGTAACGTCACTGGTGCATCGATGTCAACGCGGGTGCTGGGGTGACCGCTGGCTTTCGATTGAAGAGATAGCTGGCATAGGTTTCGTAGACGCGCTTCAACGCTACGTTGAGTCATGTTTATTGCCTGTGAGCTGACGAGTCGTCCATATTGCAGGCAAATGGACGATGCTGCAGCTGCGTCTGTCGGGCAGTGCAGAGTGGCAGCAGTGCGCACTGCGAGCGGACGTCGCCTGCTTGGCATGGTGCCAACACCTGCGGCACGTGGCTTGTTCGTACGGAGGCACAGTGTTACACTCTACTCAGAGCTGCTTTGCATCTAAAAATTTCGTACGATTTCAGTAATGAGGCATTACATGATGGGTTCTCCCCCTCCCTTGACCACAAAGCACACGTGAAGGCTAGGTGATGTGTGAGAGCAGGAAAGGGCTAGAGGAGAGGTCGGTGAAGGGCTGGTTTGGGCACATCTGTATGGCATTGATATAATAGAGGAGGTGCTGTCATGGCAGGGATTGCATCTAGAAATTGTAGAGGTTTTTTGAGTAAACATAAGCAGGAATAATTTCGAGAACAATCTCGAGATAGCCTAGTAGCTTCTTGGCCTGCTTGTCTTCTTATCTGGTGACATTGTGAAGCAGAGGATGGTTTCCTCATGAATTATCGGTTGCAATAAGTTCCCAATATTCATGAGACTTTTGCGTACTTATCCCGAGCATGCAATTGATCTTAATATTCCATTCATTCGTGTGTCCTTCAGTTCGTTTCAGACGGCCGTTAAACTCGGGTTTTTTTTTTTTTTTTTTTTTGTTTCAGGGCTATCCTGCTTTTTTTCCCCAAGACACTTCTCACATGCCTGAAATCTGATGTGCTCAGCCACTTTGAAAATGCTTTTCAATGAGCGAGAACACGCAATATCAAAACACAAGAGTATTGTCCTCGTATGGCATACTGCTTGGTAAAAACGGGATATCTTGCAAGGCATGCTGGTCGTGCCAGCGCGAAGTTCGAAAACTGCAAAAGCCTGGAAAAGCGGACTCTGCGGATTGGTGGCCCCGCCGTGGTGGTCTAGTGGCTAAGGTACTCGGCTGCTGACCCGCAGGTCGCGGGTTCAAATCCCGGCTGCGGTGGCTGCATTTCCGATGGAGGCGGAAATGTTGTAGGCCCGTGTGCTCAGATTTGGGTGCACGTTAAAGAACCCCAGGTGGTCGAAATTTCCGGAGCCTTCCACTACGGCGTCTCGTATTCATATAGTGGTTTTGGGAGGTTAAACCCCACATATCGATCAAATCAATCTGCGGATTGGTGACTGCGTCGCGCAAAGTCGGACTGATCATTCCACATGGACAAAAACCTTATAGCAGTCGGGCAATGACATGTAAAATTCGCATGCTCTCGATGGTCAAAGGAGCATTGCCGTTCTTTTTCAAGGAAGCAACAGATTTTCAAATTTTCAGCAGAACAGTAGTGTCTGTGAAGTCAATTGCATGTTCAGACCCCCGGTGGCTATGTACATTTACTATGCATTGTTGCAGCAATATTGTATGTTATATTGTGCAACATGTATACAGCATGAGCGTGTTTGTAAAGCATGAAAGGTGTGGTAGAACACCTGCTTGCCACGCAAATGACCCTGGTTCGATCCCCACTTGGACCCAGTTTATTTGCATTTTGATTTATTAATAGTGCACACGAGTTCTTTTGCTCACAACCCACACTGACGTTGGGATTTATGGAGGAAACGAGGTCTTTAAAGGGACTCTAAATAAAGGCAACTATTAACTTAACGTCAATTGTTCAAATTGCGGTCCAGAAACCTCCCTCATACTGTCACTTTATTTCAAAATAGGTCTTTCCTTTGCCCTAAAAATTGTGCTTTAGTGGTTTGCATTGGATTAGCGCACTTGAAATTTCGCACCTCAAGAAGCGGACAGACTGGAGCTTCCAGAGCGCGCTAGTTTTTCTCAAGTTGCACACTTGCGCCTCTCTTCCCCCCCCCCCCCCCCCCCACGGCTTTTTTTTTTTTTTTTTTTTTTTTTTTTTTTCTGGTTGGACGGTTCTGGCCACCTGCTGGGAGCCGAGGGTTGCCAGACGCTTCAGGGAAATTTAGTTGTGGAAGCTCTCTGGAAGGTTTTCAGTGGGTTTCGGGCTAACAGAAGTCGAAAAGGTACAATACGCTCTCGTCTGTCTTTATGAGGACTCGACAGATTGCAATTTGGGCGTTTGCTTACTGCGCCTTCGCTTGTCATTATGTGTTGCGTTATATTCTAAAGCCCGTTCCACCTTCCGGGATGAGGCGATTACTAGTGGCTTCGAGTTTTTGAAGCTCTGTTCATAGCTTTTGATTCCCATGGAGCTTCCTCCTGTGAACACTGCGGCGAAGTGTTGCCTGCTGACTGGGTCGTGCACGTGCCTTAAGTGTGTACTGCTCGTTCGTACGCACGTATAGACAACTTTGGAGTTTTTTTCCATTGTAGTAGTAGTAGTAGAGACCATGGTAGTCGTGAACAGAAAGTGGACACGGCTCCACAAACGAAGACGATTGTGGTTGTACTAGCTCGCTCTGTCCTATGTTTTCATGCGTGAACTTCTTGGAACCTCTGTCCTGCTTACTTGATTGATCTTCGATGGTGATAAAAGGCCTTGGATCGAAATTGTCAGAGGTGCTCGCTGGTCGCGAGCGGCTTGCCAACACACTTCAATCTATGGGCCAGCATATGTGGTATATTATACGATACGATGCGAGAGAAAATCAAATGAAATAATTCAGAAATGTATACATCCTTTCGTTGCCCATTTCATCGTTGGCTTTGTCTTTTTCACCTCTTTGTAATAATGCCGTGCAGTGTTTACTATGACCAAGTAGGTCAAATCAAAGCTGATATACGTCGCGATTAAGTGTCGCTTGGAACTGGAAAACGGGCTCGGGAAAGTTCCAAAACGGGTCGAAAACATGTTGTGCATAAGTTTATATTATATACAATGCACTCTGGTGGAACACATGCCTACGCATGTCTAAACTGCATAGGTATCTGCGTAGACAAAAACGCAAGTTTGTCAACGAGTGTTTTCAACGTATACTCCGTGATAGCCGAGCTGGTATATATCCTTAAGCTCTTTTGGGCACGCGATCACTTTCGCGGTATTTCGCGTCCTGTTGTGCGGCGACTGTTACATGTACTAAAAAAAATGCAACATTGTTAAGTCGTCAACGTCGCGGCAGCTCGCCTTGCATCGTTCTCAAAAAAGCGTTCGCCAGATGGCTGTTTCGTTGCAGACGCGGCGAGTGATCATGCGAGCGTACAGTCTTACCCCAGATGCGTACGCTCGAGGATAATTCCGCTGCTTAGTGAGCTTAGCTGCGCATTTCTTAGCGGATCATGCAGAAAAAAACCAACCTCCACGGGGCGCATAGTTCGTTTCCTGCCACGATGGTAGAGTTCGTTCACGTTTATGCTGGCTGTCCCAGCATTCGATTTTGCGATCTTTGGGCAGCTCCGGGTTGTCGGGGAGGGGGCGGGGAAAGAGAACAGTGTCGCAGCCACACACGTGGCTGCGACAGTTTCCTGTCCAGACCAGAACTAGTTGACTGACCCTCTGGCTAGCTCTAGCTGCTACAGAGCTGCCAGAGGCCTGAAAATTGAAGAGGCAGACTGTTGCTGTGCACAACGTTGCCCGGCTTTACTGCGCTAGTAGCTTCCGAATGTAAAGGTGCATTCAGACGACGGACCGAATCCGGATTTGTCGTGGACGTGGATGGCTAATCCGCGGATGATCTGCCTGCAGGCGCATCCATGCGATGGACGGTGTCCTAGGAGAAAACAGACAGATTACCTTCGACAGCAGGTTCGGCACTCACCTGCGCCCGCTGAAAGCGGACCGGTTTGAGAGTATTCAACATGAATGCTCGCAAGAAGCGACGCTTGGCTGCGATGTCTGTCGCGTTGTGACAAATGAACGAGAAGTGTTATTCTGTCAGGAGAAAAGGGAGTTGCTGGCAGAATGTTCTTTCAACTACACTGTTCCCTACTTGTAGAACTTCTGAACGCGTCTTCCATCCTTTTTAGAGGCGGCACGTCACCGGTTGCAGAATTTAGAATATTTCACCATCATGACGGCTATGAATCTCGCATGTCAAACGACGGCGGCGACATTTCCCGAACCACCAAAAGTGATTTCTGCGTATTTAATCACCTGAGAACAAAGCCCCCGGAAACTAACTATAAACCATGCTCAAGCGTAGATGATGCCGACCAGTCGTGCAGCTGTCCGCGAGCCATGGAGGACATGTCGCGAGCAGACGAAAAGTGTACTGGTTGCCAGAAACCTCAAGCTATTCCGCTGAGGTATCTGCTTTCTCCCACCAGAATCCAGATGTGAGAAACAGGTTGGGTTCATCCGTCCACGAGCCGCGCGGACCAGTCACGGACGAGGGCAATCGTTGATGTGAGGTCACGTGACGCGCCGTCCGTCCCGCCACATCCGGATTCAGTCCATCGTCTGAATGCACCATAAGCAGCGGGAGCCACAACAGCAACAACGGCCATTGATGAATTAGCCACCATTGGCTCCGAGATTGAAGATGTTTTTGTTCAAATGCGCCCCGATAGATGACACTACCTATCCAGTGAAACTACACAATAAATTTTTGAACCACACGCACCCTTCCCCATAGTAACATCCGGCAGTTCATTCCATCAAACGAAATGAACAAGCAGCATTTCATTGAGTCTCCTGATGCGCTGAAGGCTCTTTATTTAGTGCAGCTAGAATGGTTAGCAGTGCATTGTAGATGGCCCATCTGATGTCATCGGGATCGTTCTGAAAATTCCTCCGACACATACATGTGTTCTGCATTTACCTGAATTGCACTGTTAATAATATTGTCACTTTACGTCGGAGTGAATGCTTAATGAATGACATAAACTGTTATTTGACTTTAGTATCCCTATAATGTTACTGCTTTCAAAGAATCAAATTAGCATCGGCTAACACAGCTCTGCCAGACTTGCCACATACTTTGATTTTGTTCAACAAAGCAAAGTAGACAAACAGATCGTAAGGTGGTTTTTGCAGATCGTCAGATTTGGAATCTTCAGGAAAAAAAGCTGAGTAAGTGTAATAAATTTCATTCATTTAAGCAATCTTTTCAAGACCCACATCTCCCCTGAAACCCTGATTGACTTTTCAGCATGAAAAATGGGTGCACTCTAGCGCTGCATAGGAAGTGTGCACAACGAGCTTCATAGGCAAGGAGCCCTTCACAAAGGTGGTTGTTGTTTTCGTTAAAGATGTACTGACGCAAAAACTGCTGCAGCACATGACTCGTAATTACAGGCCGCTCATTATCGACCAATTTGTTTCGGTTTCAGAGCTCGTAAAACGAGAAGTCGCATTATGCAATTGTCGCCACCTAGAGTGTGCAGCTCTCTATCGCGTCGGTACGCAAAACTACAACACGTTTCTGCACGGTTAGCTTCACGAATTTAATCTCGCTAAGAAATTGGACTGCAGTGTTGCCAAACGCTATGACACCATAACTTGTTTTTCTGGCTGCAGCGTGGTCAGGTGAGAGGTAGGGGGTCTTCAATTAGTCTCCTTCCAAGATGTCAATGGCTCGATAGTCTCGCGCTTGCCCTAACTTCAAAATTGATTTACAATGCCTTCCTAGGCATTGTAAATGGCACTAGGCACTCCTGCCCCCCATTCGACCCCACAGGCTCTCGGCCACCGAATTTTGGGTCTGTACTCTTTAAAGCAGTTGATGTCGTGGACTGCTGTTTCGCACACGGTGTGTGACATGCATTTCAGATCCTAGTATTTTGTAAATTTTTGCCTTGCTTTTATTCTATGCTTGTTTGTGCATAATCTTTGTATTGCTACAGACATTGTCCTGTTCCTAACCTGTGCAACCTTAAGACATTGCTACTCTCTGTGCAGCACTCGGCTACTCCTCTTGGAACTGGAGCAGTGTTTTCTGCACCGGCGTACAGTCAGCCACCAGTTTCATATGGTCCGGTGGGGACATTACCGTCGTATGCTATGGCCTCTCAGTATCCATCGCAGCCTTTACCACCACCAAGTCTAGGTGGCTCCCAGCAATCTGGTGAGGCCATTTCAAATTTTTGAGCATTCAACACAACCAAACTGATGTGTTCCCAATGCAAAGCATTTCTTGGCAAACTTTGGCAACTTTGAGCGTATCTATCCGGCTGCTTACGTTTGAGTGCTCTTGTGGTCTTCACGTGAACCAAAATTAGCATTGTGATACATGCGATACAGCATTGTGATACATGTAGAGATTGTGATACATGCGTATCACAATCTCGTCAGTGGCACATATCCATGGGCGGGTATGTGCCGCTGGTATGCGGGTATGTGCCACAGGTGATTGACATTTAATATGTACCCAGGAATGACAAGCATACACCTGGGCAATTTTAACTTGTGAGCGTTAAGCAATGCCAGACATCGGTAGTGTCAACCCAACGAAAGAATAGGGTAAATGTTGGTGTAAAAAAAAAACCACACATAGGCAGCGTTGACCCCCCCCACTCCTGCCCCCCAACCAATTCCAAATAAGATTCCTGCTGGGATCCTAAAGTTCAACTCAAGCATTCAGTTTGGCAGTCAAGCGTTCTACCACAAAGCTATTCTGCCGCGCCCTCGATTGTAACGCGCACCCGGTTTCCACGACGAAGGAAAAAAAACAAAGTAAGACATCGATTGCAGTGTGCACCCATTTTTCTCATTACTTAAAAACAACTCCTTTCGGGAGCGCATTCCATTTAAGGGGGGAGGCTACCCTGGAGACCGAACTTTATTTTTTAAGATATCTGGATGAAACTTTCAGGGGTTGGTAAAACTAGCACAACTGCTAAGTTTCACGAAGCTGTGTTTCTCAGTTCTAGAGTTATTGAGGTTTAACTGGGTGCTTCACATGGGTGCCTGAGGAAGAGTCGTGAGAAATCCCAGGACATAGTAGAAAGCTGAATTCATTGTGGTCATTCCTTGATAGCTATCCCAGGGCGCTACAAAGCCGTTTTTAATTTCCCCTCCAAAAAATTTTCACGCAACTTTGAATTTGATGTAACCAGTAATGACCAGATTCATCAAATTGTTTATTATAAATTAACAGCACCGATTTTCAAAAAAAAAAGAGCTTGTTACGCCCTTGCAAGGTCATTCAGGAACAGAATAAAAAAAACGGCACACAAATCTGATGAACGGTTTTCGAGTTCTTGCTTTCCTCAGCACCACAACTAGCAAAAAAATCCGTTCTGAGAAAACAGGCCGAGAAAATTCAAAACACGCGTTTTCTTCAAAAAGCTCCAGCACAGTAGCTAGAAGTGTCCTGGCGCACTCTTTTCTTCTTTTGCCTGGCCTCCATCTTCTCTTGGTGTCTTTTAGAATTCTTTTTTAGGCGTAAAGCGTCTTTTTCACGAGCTCGCTGGATGGCCAGATGACCTGGTTGAAGTCCAATGGAGTCCGATATCACTTCGGTTGCTTTGCAGCAGCCGGCATTGTAGCGCAGCACTGCTTCATGCAGTGCTGTTTCTACCGCGATCAAGGATGAGTGTTGTTCCTTCGGCATCAGAGACCACAGAATGGAGTGGAATGATTCTGATGCATTTTGCGTCTTCGCTCCCAGGCAGCGCTGAAGAAGAGACTTTTGTGACCGTCTTTCGTAGATGGGCAGCATAGCTGCAGCGACATAGTCCGGTAGGCTGTGTTTATGTTTTGGCTGTGGCTCGCGCTTTGCCTCTGCAGCTCTATGGCGGCACCACGATTGAGCCCCCTCTGGGCAAAGTTCATGGTGAGGGTCCTGGTCAGTCGATGTGACGTGGTGATATGTTGCCATCACTGCACGCTGCATGGCTGTTAGGTCAGTTGAATTGTTTCTCAGGGCCCAACCATAATATCCTGTCAGCTTTTCAATGAGGGCTTTAGTCAGCTTCCCCTTCCCACTCAGTGGCTTATCACTTTTCTGCACAGTGTTTCAAAGAGCGCTTCCAATCCTTTTCTGAACATGGTTCAGACATTCTTCTTTTACAATTGGCACTAGCCCGTACACATTCTCTTCTGTGAGGGCAGCGAAGGTACGGCTGGCTCCGTCGGACACAAGAGTGGTGTACCGCAGGCCATGCTTGGATACAGACCGCCCAAAGAGAGTCAAGCCTGCCTCCACTTCCATGCTTCCCGATTTTGCGTCGTGTGTTTTTCTGGCAAATGTGGTGCTTCTGCCAGCTTTCGTATTCTGCATCTCCAGGTTTAGGCCCTGTTTGGCATCCAAGGCAGTGGTTTGAAAGCACTACAGCATCCAAGATGAGACCTGTAAAGAAGTCAATTACCGATCCCACTCCGATGTGTGATGTGTGACCCCGCTTATGCCATGTGCCATCGTACACTACGGTGATGTCCTTGCAGAAGCTAGGGTCCATTTCTTTATACGTTTTGATCACTCCTGTGGCAGAATCGGCATAAAACTTCTCCAAAGCGGTGGCCTCTGGGTTCCTGAACGTCTCTTTCAAGTGCTTTTGAAACGTCTTGTGGTGAAGACCTCTGTAAGAGACGTTCATGGCAGCCCAAAAGTCATTAAGAGCTGTTTGCCCCTTGCCTATTTGCTTTATAGCCATTATGGCGCGGGCATTTACATCGAAGGCCTGCGTGTCCTTTTTGCGGGGTGATGTCCATAATTTATCGACGGTGCCACAAGAGGCGCACACGACTTCCAGTTTTGTTGCAAGTCCAAGCTTGGTGCTCTCTCGGACAGTCATAGCACCTTTCAAACATTCTTTGCACACTGTGCGGCTGAGCACGACGTTAAAGATGTTCATTTGAACGAGCGAAAAATGTTCGCCCTCGCTTGTCACTGCAGGTGCAAGAGCCGGCTGCATCAGTTGAAATTTCCTCTGTGTCGCCGGCGTAGACTCGAGTTCAGCGCGAACGGCGTCACGACGTTTCACATTCGCATCGATTTCTTCCTTCGTTAGGAAACGCGTCCGCAGAAGAAGAGACGGTCCACTCACGCTCGATGGCGGCACCGATTCAGACGAAGTGCTGGGTCCGGCGATATCGGAAGCACTCGGTGTCGCACTGGATGGCATCGATTCGGAGCACGTGTCGAGCCCGGCGATCTCGGAAACTCGGTGCATTTGCGGCTCCAGCCACACTCGATGTGTCGGATTCTCGACTGGCGACAGCCGACAACACAGTTCCGTCGCTGCAAGCGTCTACGCAGTTAGCACCCGCAGCAGAATAGCGCAATTTCGATGATCGTACAAGCCGCATAGCGCGCCTCCGCGCACCGGACTTCCGCACTGACTTCGGCTTCGTTGCCGGCATCGCCCGCAACAATAAAGACGAAAGACACAGAACTAGTGCAAAAAGAAAAACGAGAGAAAATGATCGAAAAAATAGCACAAGGCAAAGAGCGGCTCGTAAGCAGATGTCTGTCGAGGCGGACGGAGCAGAGAGCAACAACGAAGCGACCGCGCTGGACGACCGCATGGTCCGGGAATGGCGCGTGCGCGAAGTTTGGTTTGATTTCGAGATTTGCGCTTGTTTTGGCCGCCGCGGCGGCCTCGAAAATAGCATTTTTTTCGCACTTTGCGGTTGAATCAGGTGCTGATAATTACAGAATAGATAGTTTATGAGACATACAACCCAAAAATGTGGTTTTTCAAAAACGGACTTTTTCGCGATTTTTCAGTTTTCAAGGGCTGCGTCCCCCCTTAATGAGGTACGGGGAAGCTTGTGCCCATCTGACGTGTAACACACACACACACACACACACACACACACACACACACACACACACACAGCTTTGGCGTCGCTGTATTTTTACCGTGGACCGATGTTGGCATGCGAACTTGCTTCGCCCCCTTCTCGACGGTTGCGGTGCCAGGCATGTCGAAGTAAAGAGGCGTCTGATCGGCATTCCGGATTTGCCCAAGCAGGTAGCCATTGTTGTGCCGCAAGTTTAGGACGAACCTCTGAAAACTGTGAAGCTTTTCATCGTACTCCTCCGGAAACTTTTCGCATATGCCCGTTCGCCTTCGGAGGGAAAAAGCCTTTCCTCTTCATAAAGTTAGTTAGCCAGCACCTGCTCGCTTTAAACTGGCTCCGCATTAGCCCAGGCTAACTGTATAGCCCGCACTTGAAGCAGTTCTGCCGCCGGTCTAAAAAATCGGTCGGTGACGGTATGTACTCGGATACAGCAGTCACGTTGGGTTAACGTCAATTGTGGTTAGTGCCGTGCACATATCGCGTATCGATGAAACTCTGATCTTATCTTCGTACGCCAAAGGTAGTCGTTGACAAAGAGCCCGTCAGTCTTCAGAGCAGAGTTCACTTCGGCGCATGAACTGTGTGGCCCACCTGTTGCTTGCGCGGAAAATCTCTCACCGGGATTCGCTCGTCTGATTTCTTGGCAGCTAGGTTGAAGCTGGTCCGGTTTCGTGGCGGCTAGGTTGAAGCTGGTCCGGTTTCGTGGCGGCTAGATTGAAACGGCACACCCGTCCACGCGTAGACTCTTAATGTATTCGAGTAGTGCCGCCTCAACCTGTGGGTATCTTCCAGTCTTAGGCACACGGCAGGCCTTGCGTGAAGTGTTTGTGGCTTTGAGCTGTTCGTGCTTCCGTTGCCAGTAGCGCACACAGCACTCGTCCATGGCGAAGTGCCTGCCGGCGGCCCTGTTGCAGTGTTCTAAAGCATGGTCGATAACCTTTAGCATGAAAACGGCTCTATAGCTCCTGTATCGGCTCATCACGTAGCCACAGAAAGGACTATGCTAGTTGCAGATCACTATTGCGCTACCTCGGAACACAACACTAGCGCCGTGCCACAAGTGCGACTGCAGAACTTGTGGCTTGGTTTGGATTGGATTAGAGCTCCGTTCTAGCACGTAATTGTTTTTCTTCCCTTTGAAACAGGGCAGGCGTATCACGCGCCACGGGAATAAAAGTAAAGATAGATGGTCTGTTCGTCCACTGGCCAGGCATCAGTTTCCTTAAAGGGGTCCTGAAACAGTTGCTTTACAACAACAATGTGGCATCATCGGCAGCCACATGCACTAACTATACAATCGCCACGAATGGACCTGCATAGACTCTTTGCCTATTGAAGAACGTGGAATTCTATGGCATATCAAGCGCGCGCAAGAGGCGCTCAGTGGCGTCTGCCATACACGATCTGCGTCCCACAAGAAAGCTGCTTCAAATGACTTCAAAGTTCAAGTTGGTGCCGATGGGTGCCCCAATTTCACGCACTCTCAAGTACCGAAAAGTTGCATGTTTCTCGATAGGTAAAGCATTACTTATGTCACCTAGTTAGTGCGTGTGGACGACAGTTGTTTTGCATTGTCGCTTCAGAGCGAAGGTTTCACGACCCCTTTAATGCACATCGGTTTCCTCAAACATGCGCGCGCGCACACACAAGCAAGCTCCCACTAGTTCGGTGCAAGTCGTGCCGAGCCAAGGCAAGCAGTGTTCCGCACCTGCTCTATGGAGGGAGGAAAAACATGACCTGCTCCGTTCACGTGGTTTAAACTTGGATGTTTAAATGTTGGGTCACTTCACTTTTCTCTATGGTGGCCTTAAACAATAGGGGTGAACTTTAGTTTTCTTGTAACTCATGTTCCCAAAATAACTTATTAAATATTTGAAATCTGCAGAAGAAACTGCATAATCCTGTGCAGTTTATTTCTTCAGTGATCTTGATCAAACAAAACAAAAATGTCTGTCTGCCCCCTTAATGTAACTTGCTTCTTCTCCAGGATTTCAAGTTGGCTGCTCCAGATTGCTCCAAAAATGGAAAATTTTGCTACTCTAAAAATTGCTCCAAATTGGAAGACCTCGGTGGCACCACTTTTTTTTTTTTTTCCTCTAAACTCTGTCTCAGCCCTGCAACATGTCAACTTTTTCAAGAGACCTTGTGTCACGCCATAGAGGGGCCCTCTGCCCACGCTTGACCTAGTTTCACCCTGAGGTGTCGTTTACGGTTATCTATGCAAACTAAGTGGTACGGATTTTTCAATGTTTGTGACGAGCGACAACTTGGCGCAAGTGCGTCAAGTATTCAAAGCTGTGCAAGTCTCCAACAATAGAAAAACGGGTTGCCCTAATTAAGTTGAGAAAGGAAGCTGAACGAAATCGAGCATTGCGCTGTGCGAGCAGGATGTAGTGGTGACCAGAGCAATGTCAGACCAGACGCCGAAACTGTTCAAACGCCCACTAACGTATAGGATGGCGGAGACAGCGGTGACGAGTCTTGAGGTGCAGACATCTTCAGAGACAACATTTGGTGTACTGGTAGCGGCGGGGAAGATCGACTGATGCGATGTGTCAAGCAGCTCGAGGACACCTTCCTAGGCCAGGGTAGGACTGCAAAGCAGACGAGCATTAGGCCGTTGCCGCACTGCCATTTTATTTAGCAGAGAACAACACCCAGCCTGTTAGTTTTTTGTACGTTTTTTTTTTTTAAACCTGCAGTGAAAGAAATTGGAAACTGCGGCTGAACAGCCAGTAAAAAAAAAAGGCAATTTTTGGAAAAACTGCTTTTTTTTTTTTTTTGGTGCTTCGTGCAGCCTTATCTCGAATGCCTTTATCTCAATTTTTCCTGGTTTTTACAACTTAGCAGTAACGAGGTATTACTGTATGTAGTTTTTAAATGCAAAAAATGAGTAAAGGCCACGTCCAAGTGATCCTGGGACATTGTGTAGCTGAGCAATGTGGATGTGGATGGAGGCTCAAGGGGCGCAAGTGCTGAACCATTCTGTGCCAATCTGACCTGCTGCACCTAAACGGCAATTTGCGCGAGGGCCCAGGTAATGGCGCCTGGTAATCTCGGGGCCGCTTAAGCACTTTTTATAGGGTAAACCTAGTGACTGGTTACCAAATGTGTTTGGAAAGTCGGGCGTTCCTAAATCTCTAGCCGAGAACTGGTCATCGCGGACTTCTAGTGCTCCGGGGTGAAATTATTTCATTAACTTTTTTAGTCGCTTTGTTACTATGATTCAGCAGATATCAATGTTCACATCGGCAAGCAAAGAATACTTTGGAGAGTATTTTTCTAGTTTTAATAGCTACTACTGTAATATCGTGCTCAAATTATTCATGTTGGCCCAAGTACATGCTCTGTTGAAGTAGGAAGGTCGCAACGCTTTTTCTAGGTTCACTTTTAGTTGGCCAAAGCCAACGGTAGGCGTGATGTGTAAAAAGCGTGAGCAATCTTCCAATTTGTAAAAAGAAACTGTGGCATAAGTTAGCGTACAAATGCATTATCCTAACAAATAATGAAGGGAGAAACAAGTTATCTTTACACATTGGTTCTCGTTGATATCCCACCCTAAAAGGAGACAACTCCATGCACGGCCTGATCTATATCTCGGGGGCAGTTTAAAACCTTGCATAAATAACAATAAATACATGGTATTCACCTGTGGGCAGGTATGCAAAGTTCTTCTCGCCCCATCTATGCTTGAGAGGCGTGCTTGGCAAGCGCGAGCGCTGACAAGCAGTGCGACCCGGCAGGTGTTTCATATTGGTTGTCAAGCCATGTTACGAAGGCAAGATGCCAACACTGTCCCGAAGGCGCCACTGCTCCACACTCCGCCGACACGGTCGGCAGCCGTTGGTAGCGTGTGTTACTCGGCTCGCGACTGCTTCTGCGCAGAGCTGATAGACGAGCGGGCGAGACAACCGAGTTAAGGCAAGGTTTATGTACAGCATAGAAATGGAGGTGTCGCGAATTCGGCACTGGGGCCGACAGCTTAGGGACTTGAAGAGCAGAGATGTCTTCTGCGACACATAGCCCTGCGGTGCGTCGCCAGCAGTAGACTTTTTTTATAGGCACCGGGTGGATCCTTTGAGTAACCAAATGTCCAACCAGAAGCGCTGCTGGCAGTGATGTCGGAATCCTCCTATGGGGCCCGCCGCTGCGCGTGATCGCACCAAGGACGAGGGATGTTGCCACGCATTGCATATGACTCGCCAGACTGGAAGGCGCCAATTGCAATTGCTGCGCGTGGTAGCAGCCAAGGACGAGTGACATTCCCACGCATTGCGCAAGACTTGCCAGACTTGAAGGTGCCGATTGCTTCAACGTGCTCGCGGTCCGAGAGAGCTCGTGGTACCTTGCGTCGCAGACCGTCGTTGTCGCTTGATGACGTCGTTGAGTGAGTTGATCGGGTCAGACGGGCTCGATTGCTGGCTTTGACATGGATTGCCTTTTGCAAAGGCATTGGCGTTCAGTGTGGACTCGCAGGTGTAACAGCCACAAGGTGCATGAGTGGTGGTGCACTGCTCCATCTAATACCAGCAAATCTATAGCATTTTGCTCCCCATTAAACAAATTTTAGTTTTCTTTATATTCACGACCGCTCAAGACGCGGGGCAACACAGGTTAGTCTTCTTCAATGCGACTTTTGTCAAAATGAAAATACGCTATGCCATCAGCTTAGCATTACCCGAATTTAAGCTTGCACAATTAAAATATGCCATTCGTTCAAGCATGCTGACCATGCAAATACTATATGTAGCGGGAGAACTGTTCCTGTGGGAATTGGTATGCGGTGGTCTTACTGCACATGATATGCCACTAATCTACTATCCCTTGACCTTGGTAACGTGTTTTATGTACTCTTGCAGTTCTCAATTCATCTCGTGACACTATATTTATAGTGTCGTTCACTCTTAACTCGATAAAAATTGGGGGACCCTTAAGCTTCGCCTTTGAGTTGAACGCGACAGCGAAATCGGCCCCTAGTGCACCCTTAAACCGCTAAGTGCATACTTATTCATGTTTTCTTGCATACCCACGCACACCGTAGATTGGATCAGCGCGCGCTATTATCCCCAAATGGGCTCGTTTTTTGTCATGGCACCTGTCGAACAAAATGCGCCTCGTGCTCGATTAGTTCTCATTCTCGTGTGGGAATCGCTGGGGCCACGAACACGTTGCTGCCGCTCCACGTTTCGGCGGCGGCGGGTCAACCGTGGAAGATGCATCCTCGTGCTAAAATCGTAAAATTTAAGCAGACAATGTAGATTGTCTGTGGTGAAAATTCATTATATCAAGGTTGTCTCCCGCTGCACGTTAAACAACCTCAGGTGGTCAATTTCTGAAGTCCTCCACTACGGAGTCTATCATAATTGTATAGTGGTTTTGGGACGTTGAACCCCACATATCAATCAAATCAAGGTTGTGTGCCGCTGTTACTTTGTTCAATAGGCGTTGCAAATACATGCGAGTTTATGGAGTAACGGCGGTGAATAGAAAAACTTTGTTATATGGAACTGTAGTACTCTTGTTAAATATTATGCTCTCATTATCATTCAGGTTCCCAGTCTGGCAGTACTACTCCTGCACAGCGGAAGAGCCCCACTATGGATGCTGGAGTTCAAGTTTCTGGTCCTCCTGCTGAAAAAAGACAATCTCCTCGCGGGGCTTCTCAGCGAAGCCATGGGCAGCAGGGTTCTGCAGGGCCAAGCAGGCAACATGGACAACAGATGCAGCACCAGCAAGCCTTGCCACCACAGTCTCGTCAAGGGGGCACTCAACAGCAGCGAGGCCGTAGGGGAGGAGTTGCTGGTGGTCCATCTGGAGCAGCCGGTGCACGTCCCCGCCAGGGACCGTTCCGCACTACAAAGCCAAAGGAACCATTGAAGTTCGATCGTGAATACGACTTCGAACAAGCCAATGCAGAATTTCAAGAACTGGAAAACAAACTGGCACAGACAAAGATCAGTAAGTCTTGTTCCACTCATTTGAGACACTCATTTGGGGAATAGTGTTGTCAATATGCCAAGTTAGGATTACATTGAACCTTCAAATATGTCTCGTGGTTACAGGATGACCCACTTTTCACAACTGATCGGTTTGGTCCCACTGAAATCCCCAGTGAAAGTTGTCTCAATGTGTCCCATTATTTCCAATTCTGTCCGAAGTAAAAACAAAAAAACCTTTACTCGCATCGAACATTGACCCTTGGCTCGAGGGTGCAAAATACAAACGTGTGTTCCGCTCGATCAGTCAATTCTTCTTCTTAGAATGGAAAACTGATTCTCCTAGATCAGGTGCCTACGCAGGGTCGTTACCTAGGAAAGCTCCGTCCAAATTAGGTTGAGCAGGCCGAAGAGCTCATTTCCGATATTGACATTTTTGTTTTCGGTCTCTGGAAATGCTTCTTGGTTGGCATACTGCTGACATTTTTGTTTTCGGTCTCTGGAAACTCTTCTTGGTTGGCATACTGCTGATCTCCTTTGGTTTGTGTTACTCGTAGTCTCAAGCTTGAACACGCAAAAGGGGGCGATGGAGCCATTATGATTGTGCACAATCTTTCACTTGACCTCAACATTCATTGTAACAGTGGAATATTATCACTAGTTGTGCTTTGTGCTTGACTGGGCTATTGGAATTTGTTGCCTTACAAAGGCTTTCTACGCAAACTTGTGAACCCGTGGTTTGTCGCCATTATGTGATCGCAGTGACACTGCGTCTCTCTCACAGGAGTCTGCTCGCTAAGAGATTCGGGTTCATTTTCACGGGTAGGCAATGTGCAAGATGAGCCTGTTAATGAGCAAGATACGCATTAGATTTAATTTTTTAAAGTTGGCAATACGAATTCTCTCGCCAATGGCAGCATTACTTAGCCTAGGCAAGGGCAAGAATTTAATCTGCATTTCTTGGAGAAGCACAAGGTCGTGCCGGAGGCTTACTTAAGCGGTCGTTACCAGTTTTTGCTTTTTTTGTGCAAGCAGTGTCATTGCCTGTATTGTTGTTTTTTTTTTCTATTATGACGCCGGGATTATACGGTTGGTTTGTGTGGTCCCTTGAACGTCGTAGATTATCTGGGTTCCACTGTATGTTTTCACAACCTTTGGTGTCTGAAATTGCAATGAGGTAGGTCAGAATATTCTATTGGGCATCATTTCCAAAAAGAAGTCTACTTCGTTAAGTACACTGCGCCTTAGAAATAATGTATTAGCCTATTATGGCGATTTTGCCGGGACCAACTGATTCGTCATAAGATGTAGTTTTCCTCATACAACCTGGAGGGGGGAGGGGGTAATCGAAGTTCCACTGTCCACGACGAGACACCTCCCCATTCTAGAGCCTTGTCCTCTTAATTTCATAATTATGAAACTTTGAAGGGGAATTTTTAACCTTAATTAGCACAGTGATTTTTTGCCTTGGTTCTATCTGGTTACAATAATGAAGTAACCTCTAATGGGCTGTTATCTAATTCTAGTATCTTTGAGGAAATTCATCGTATGCAAGACCAGACATGCATTTTTACTGCTGCATGGATTTGTCTTAGCAGTAGCACCCTCATGGACACAGTTGTCCTTGATAAATGATTCATATGGCTGTGACAAAAGCCTTTATCTCGTGGTGCTCGCTTCCAACAGGAATGCACCCTAAGTTAAGGTGTGGCTGTAGCATGTCCTTTCCTGTGTGTTGATAGCTTCGCAATGCAAAGCTGTAGATTAGTTAGGTAAGGTTAGGTTATCTGTGGCAAGATTGCAACCCTTCAACGCATGATGATAGTTATAGCGAGAGAACAAAACGACACAGAGACAAGAAGGACACGAAAGACACGAGCGCTAACTTCCAACTGAGTTTGTTGCGCAGAGCACGAAAATGTATAGAGGAGACGGTAACCATGTGATAAAAACCATATGGCACAAAGAGCAGAACATGAGTAAGAAAAAAACGAACAAACAACACAAAAACAAAAGCACTGAAAAACGGCAAAGAAAAATGAAGAAAACGAACCGGAAAGGTAAAGATAATATAACTACCTCGGACAAGGCCACGGAGGACTTGCTAATACAAGGCACCTGTTTGCGTGCCATCTGCGCGGCCTCGACACGGGAAAGATGGTTTTCTTGCTCAGCACTGCACCGAGTGCAATTGTGTTCCCCTCTTCAAGGACACAGCGACGCTGTACAAGCACAGAGATTAAAGCACCAGAGTCGTTGTGGAGGCCGCGCAGATGGTACGCGAACAGGTGCCTTGTATTAGCAAGCCCTCCCTTCAGAACGCAGGTTCCTTATTATATATTTACTTTTCTGTTTCATTTTCTTCTGGATTTTTCTTTGCTGTTTTTCAGTGCTTTTGTTTTTGTGTTTGTTTTTGTTCTTTTCTTACTCATGTTCTGCTCTTTGTGCCATATGGTTTTTATCACATGGTTACTGTCTCCTCTATATATTTTCGTGCTCTGCGCGATACTCAGTTGGACGTTAGCGCTCCTGTCTCGCGCTATAACTATCCTCATGCCATACCAACTAGCCCAAGCTGCCACACCTTCAAGGCAATCACTAGCAGAAGGGGGTAGCTATCCTGGAGGATTCCATATCGCCAATGACAGGTTGTTTTGCTCACCACTAGGCGACTGGAATAGAGGCTGTGGTTGCTGTCGCACCCGCTTGAATGTGCTACAAGCAGCAGCCCTCCGAGTGCGCGGCACACCTGCTTGCGTGTTCCCTTTCATAAAAATTTACGTTCCACAATATACAAATTTTCTGAGCAGCTTGAAACAGTCCCCCTCGCCCTCCAAAATGCATAACCCAGTCCCTTTGCAACTGCACCCCAAGGTGTGTCGGGCGCTCATTCCCAGGGCCTGGGCTGTCGCAGCGGTTGCCATAGGTGTAGTGGAATAGGGACCTTCCCCATTTTCTTTCAATTTGCGTAATAAAATGTTTCCAAATTTCAGGTGATGAAAAGAAAGACGACTCTGGCACTGAAACTCAAGTTGGCGACAACCATGAAGATGACGATGTGGTGTATTACGATAAGAACAAATCCTTCTTCGATAACATCAGTTGCGAAGCCATTGAACGGAGCAAAGGGTAAGCCTGAAGTATTTGTGAAGTATTAAGGGTAAGGCTGAAGTATTCGTGCTTTCGCTGAAAGCAGATATAAATTCGTTTTCTCCTTTTCTGTGGATGCCTGTTAAGGAGAGACGCAAGTCAGAAAGTCGCGGTTCCCCCCCCCCCCCCCCCCTTTTTTTTTTTTTTTTTTTTTTTTTTTTTTTTTTTTTTTTTTTACTGTATTGGCATTCTTAGACTACAATCTATTACTTCTCAAAATATGAAGCTGAAATTCCCACGAGAAATTATCAAAAAGTGCTTCCAAGTGGGCTGTGGTGTCGCGAGAAATGCGCGAAAAACGGCGAAGTTCGCATCGTCTTGTCGCGAAAACGACGCGTTGGCCGCCATTTGCAATCGTGCACGCACGCTGCTAGGGCCGTATCCTTCACAATCCACTAGTAGCCAGTCTTGTGCCTTCACGCAGAATAAACAAGAAATGAGAAAAACAACGCGTATGTCGCGCGTTTTGAATATCGAGGCACGCAGCGTGAGGTCGCCATTGGACGGCCGTGCGCTCCACGCTACTCCCCCTCCTATCTCTCGGGCAAACGAGGGAAGCCTCGCACGTCGCGATCGAACTTTTCCGAGTTTCTCTGCATTTTTGTGTCGTGGCAAGCCCGAAGAAGTGCAGTTCAGATAACCGAAAATTCAGAACTCTCCTCAAGTATCGAGGGAAACTGCGTCGGACGCTTCACGAAGCGACAGCGAACGACGATGTCGCCCCCGACTAACGCCTCGACGCTCCCACTTCAGATAGACCTATAACAGTCGCCGAACCCCGCGACAGTGGTTGTGAAATAGCCGCTGCCGTGGAATTCGTCAGTGCATCCCAAAAAAAAATTCGAGTCTTCAAAAGTGAATGTAGACCGGTGGGTGCTACTACTGCGAACATGCTGCTATGCGAAATCGATTTGCTGGCGGCACTTGTGGCAGGGTGCCCAATGCTCAACCTGCCGCGAACAAAAGCTCGGCGTGCGAGCGGCAGCTGGAAAGCGCAAAGGACTCTCGGCATTCCTCGGAACTGTGTTGTCAAAATTCTGATTGCCCTGAATCTGCACTTTCGTTCACGCACACGTCGAGACTTATTGCTTCGGCTGGGGACCAAGGGACAAGCGCTCTTTTGACAGCGGCAGCTCGCGTGACAGCTTTGCTGTAAACGTGAAGGCAGTTCTGGCAGCACGCGCTATAGGTGCAAGCCACGACTAACTTTCAAGATTTTGTGCTATTCTCGGTCTTCCGAGCCCAATGCATTACAAGACATTCAACGGCATTTCCAAAAATCTCCATGGTGCGGAAATGACGGCAGTGAGCAAAAAACTTGCACCAGGCACGAAACATCGCCGATGAACACCTGGCAGAAAAGGTCATAAAGTCTCAATAGAGTGGACACAGTCGTGTCCCTGGACATGGGGCTCTGCCTCGATTTTGAAGTTCTTTCGAACTACTGCCATGCTGCAGTACACACAAAGACCTTGGGGATAATGAAGAGATATGGCGAGCTTTTCGTCTTCCAGGTTGCCAAAAAAAAAAAAAACACCGACTGCTCATCCCACGCAATGGAACCTGTGGCAGCTGTCAGTCATGTCTGAGGACCTTGTCTTATGAAACTCCACTGCGTTTCACCAGCTTCCCAAGTGATGGTGACAGCAAGGCCTACAATTCAGTCTGCGAGGCAAATGTATACTGCGACACCCCCATTATCAAAGAAGAGTGCACGAACCACGTTGCAAAGCGCTTGGGAACTGCCCTACGGAAATTGGCAATGCCACTGCCACGAGGCGAAAAACTGAGATGCGGCAATAATAAAACTACATATGACAAGATCGCCATCACGAGTCGCAAGGACAGTGTCCGAAATATGTATACTGCCATATGGGCATCGTATTTTCATTGCTGCTCTAGTGATGGTGCCAGTAGCCACAACTTTTGCCCTGCGGGACCAAATTCGTGGTGCAAGCACAAGCAGGCGGAAGCACTGGAGGAGCTTGCACCACGCCACACCCCACTGTTGGCGAAGGCTCTAGGATTGGCAGTTATGCCTATCTACAAGCGCCTTACAGAGGAGAAACTCCTTGTTCAGTGCCTTCATGGCAAGACACAGAATGCAGCCGAATCGCTGAACAGCAAGATATGGCTGCTATGTCCAAAAACAAGGTTCACCTCCAGAATAACTGTGGAGACGGCCACAGCGCTTGCTGTACTCTGGTACAACAAAGGCCACAGGGGCTTTGAAAAAGTGCTTGAAGGCATTGTAATTTTCCCCTCGCAAGATCTGGCCACACATCGTGACCACTGTGACGCCATGCGCATCAGGAAGATAACCCTGAAGCAAACTGCAAAAGAGAGGGCACGCCATCGCAACACAGCGAAGAGAGCTCGTGTTGAGGACACTAACCGCAAGAGCCGTGAAGGACCAAGCTATGGTGCAGGGGACTTCTAGACACTTGCAGTGCATTCAGTGCAAGGTACTTTTCATTGTGCCCCAATTTGATGCAAAAAGAATGATTTCCTAATAAATGCCAACTTTGCGAGCTGTCGAACTTGTTTTTCTCATTTCCATTTTTTTCTGACAGTTTCACATTTTCCGGACAGCCTTTTGGAAACCTATATTCATTGTATAGTAGCGAAACTTGGCTCACATATTCTTCAATACATCCAGAATGCAAATATCTACTCTAAATTGCAATGCCTACTAGCATTAGTTCTGAAAATATTAGTTGATTGTTTCAAGGGAGATTGAAAATAAGTCATTCAATACAATTTTTTTTTTTCTTTTGGTTCCAATATTTCTGTGTAGATATTTGCACTTTTCAATCTACCTAGAGTCAAATAAGATCGGACACATTATGTACTAAACTTTCAGTAGAAGTAAAGTGCCCGTAAAAAATGTAACTTTTTGATATTGTTTATGGCATAACTCAATAATCACAGCTACACAAAAAATTATTGCATATTTGAAATCTGAATGAAAAACTATACTAATATAAATGTTTCGGGTCTCTATTACTAGAAATAAAGAACTTTTTCGAGGAGCATCCTTCCTTGAAAGGTGTATTCCCAACACTATTCTATTCCCAAACTTACTTTCGTGTAAGATCCAACTTCGTTAGAAGGTTTGGGTGTATACAGTCACACGGATATATCTAACCGAAGGGGTTCCCGACTTGGTTCGATATACGAAAAATTTGATCCACTTCCACTAAGTCGTCCGCAGACACTTTGTGTGGAACTGCGGCCGGAAAAGGGAACGACAACTAGTGAAGTCTTTATGTACTTGTTGTCATCTTGGCAGATTTTCGCAGTCCGAAGCCTGCCTTACGGAAGCAGTTGACCACTGTGTACGTCTTCGCGTCTCGCCAGGAAGATCTCCGTGGGAGAAAACATTGTGCAGATTTCCGGCACTCCTTCACCATTCACAGCTGGATGTCTTGGCTGCTGACAGCTTTGCTTTCGACAAAATTAGTTTGCCAGCAATGTAGTGTCTCTGCCTAAATCTCTAAAGCCGCGCAGTGTTGTCAGCGAAGTTGTTTCAGAGAGCGCAGCGGCAAACCATTTGTCCTTGGCGATCAGTATCGGGCCATCCACTGGAATGTTCTTTGCGCGCCCTTCTAAAAACAAGGCATACAATGCCTTTTCTACATTCCCGTGGGCAGAAGCACACACATGACAATCTCCCTATGTTCGATGCTCCACCGCTTTTGCCTTGATATCTGCCTTGTTCCAACAAGGTACTCGGAGTGCTTCATGGTATCCCGAAGTCGTTCGCGACGGTAGAACATTTCTCGCCCACCTCAACACGCTGAATAGCCTTCAACTTTGCAAAGTCAAGGGTCTTGCGCTTCTTGACGCTGGCCGTAGCTACACAAGAAGTCAATTCGGAGTCTGCAGCGGCTTCGCACACCACGCATGCAAAAGAAAAATGTTGCACATGTTATGGTACATAGGCAACTCTACAACAGAAGCAAAGTGCTTGCGAGGCGATAGGCACCTGAGAGGGCAACGGCAAAAGGCATGAGCAAAACCTCCGAAGACAAAAAACGAAAGGCTCCTTCATTCCTGCTCTCGGAGCAGATGGGTACGCGGAGAAAGCATGAAAGAAGCGAAAAAAAAAAAACTTCCCGCAAGTTATAGATTGTGCAGTCCGAGCCCTCTCGCCTTTCGGTTTTTATTTTTACTTAAGTTTCGAGTTATGATGAAAGCGTGGTGCTGCGCGAAAGTCGCTGGGCGAGCAAATGCCGACTTGAGCTGAAACGTTGATCCTTGATGTATGTGTTTCGAAGAGCAGAGGCGGTAAGGGCGATCTCTAGTTTTTCAGACGGCAGCATGCATGAGGCACTGGCCCTAAAGTTTTGTCGTCCTCGCAATCGTATTCCTCCAAATCGCAGCTGCTGCGCACTTAATTCACAATGCCCTAGTCCTTGCACGGTTGCTCAGTGTCGGCATTATGATCGGCCGTAATTAAACAATCTCAACCAATGTCCCCACCCGCTTTACCAGGTCGGGGTCGACTATGCGCTGCCACAAATCGCTGCTGCATACCTGCCAAGTCTCTCGGATTGGCTGGGAGACTCTCGTATTTTGACCGCTTTTTCCGGTTGTAAGACTGTGATGAAAATCTCCCGGAAATCGAAATTTCTGTGCCTGATCTGGCTGCATTCACAAAAAAGCAGCTAAATCCGCTCGAGGCTTTTCCAACCTACCCCATTTCATTATAAATGAGTTTAAGAGGCGTTCATGTAAATGAACAGTAATCTCGGTGATGCGAAACCGTGGCAGATACGAATTCTTAAATTCTCCAGGCAACTTTTACTATGTTCATTGGGCCTCAATTCCAATGTTCCAAGCACATTTCCTAATCGTGGCGGGTGATATGAACTTTGGTACGCAAACCGTCGAATGAAGGCAGAGAGCAGCGTACTCGAAGCTTCAGAAGTACGCGTGCGACCGGCGCACTATGGTGCGTGTGATTGTCGTTGCCACAACCACTGAGGATGAAACCGCGGTCGCTCTTGACATGCTCATGTATGGCGACGACATAACTGCGAGAACCTCGAAGTGTGCGCTCAACCAGTCAAAGCAACGCTGCTTTCCGTTAACCCTGCAGACAAACCTGCTGGTGATGCTATCGTAGATGGCATAAAATGACTTAGTTTTGAAGGCGCGTGCGCAGCCAAGCGCATGGGGATTGTAAAATGAACTACGGTTTGCCGCAACTGCGGTCGTGGCGAGGCGATAGCGATCTACAAGCTCGGAGGGCACGCAGCGGGAGGTAAGCCAGTAAATACGTAAAAAAAAATATAGAATGTTAGTTTTGCTGCAAGTGCAAAGCAATAAATGCAAGAACTTGGAATGTAATGCTGAGAACTGCAAGCAGATCGAAACGTGTAGCGCGCTGCTCACACACAAATGACGCATGACAACGATACTCGCAGCACGAAAGGTTACTAGCAGCATTTACCGCTCGACACTTAACACGCTGTTTGAACAAAAACCATGCATGATACATAATCACAGGTACAGATGAGTACAAACTAACAAGTGTTCCCATTCTTTTACCTGGCTGGGTATGAAAAGCGCTATTTTCGCAAAAGTGGCCTGTGCAATGACCGAAGTGACCTTTGTGGGCCTGGCAACTAACGCTTTCATTTCAGTGACAGCCGAAGGCACGCCATTCCCCCACCAAAATATTAAGCGCGCGCACAACGAAATACACGCGAGAGATAAGCACGCCTCGTGAAATGTAGAGGAGCTTGGCGCCGAGTGCAGGTGGCTTTTTTCTTGTAATGTGCGCGCACACGCACACACGCACACACACACACACACACACACACACACACACACACACACACACACACCCTGAAGGACAGCGGCGGTGGTGACTGCAAAAAACAGCTTTGACTGTCCATATAATTGCAGTCCCCATCAGAAGGGGCCAGACGCGTTTTGGCGTTCCTGTCGGAATCTAGCAGTGAGTGAAGCGTTCATCATCATCATCATCCTGACTACGTCCACTGCAGGACAAAGGCCTCTCCCATGTTCCGCCAGTTAACCCGGTCCTGTGCTTGCTGCTGCCAATTTATACCCGCAAAGTTCTTAATCTCATCTGCCCACCTAACCTTCTGTCTCCCCCTAACCCGCTTCCCTTCTCTGGGAATCCAGTCAGTTACCCTTAATGACCAGCGGTTATCCTGTCTACGCGCTACATGCCCTGCCCATGTCCATTTCTTCTTCTTAATTTCAGCTATGATATCCTTAACCCCCGTTTGTTCTCTAATCCACTCTGCTCTCTTCTTGTCTCTTAAGGTTACACCTACCATTTTTCTTTCCATTGCTCGCTGCGTCGTCCTCAATTTAAGCTGAACCCTCTTTGTAAGTCTCCAGGTTTCTGCTCCGTAGCTAAGTACCGGCAAGATACAGCTGTTATATACCTTCCTCTTGAGGGATAGTGGCAATCTACCTGTCATAATTTGAGAGTGCTTGCCGAATGTGCTCCACCCCATTCTTATTCTTCTAGTTACTTCAATCTCGTGGTTCGGCTCTGCGGTTATTACCTGCCCTAAGTAGACATAGTCTTTTACAACTTCAAGTGCACTATTACCTATCTCGAAGCGCTGCTCCTTGCCGAGGTTGTTGTACATTACTTTCGTTTTCTGCAGATTAATTTTTAGACCCACCTTTCTGCTCTCCTTGTCTAGCTCGTAATCATGAGTTGCAATTCGTCCCCCGAGTTACTCGGCAATGCAATGTCATCGGCGAAGCGCAGGTTACTAAGGTATTCTCCATTGACTCTTATCCCTAACTGTTCCCATTCTAGGCTTCTGAAAACCTCCTGTAAGCACGCGGTAAATAGCATTGGGGAAATTGTGTCCCCCTGCCTGTGAAGCACGGGTGAAGCGTTCACCCGTGCTTTTATGGCAGCCAGCTGCGCCGTCCCGTCCGTTCATGTGTGTCCCAGGAAGACACACGCGAGCTGTTTTGACTGGAATAGATTCTGCTAGTTGTGTTAATCTCACCTTAGTGAAAAACCTTACCCTCGTGTGTTTGGCCACTTCTAGCCGCTATAAGACCGCAACGCTGATGTTGGCACTTGCAATTGAGACCCCCCCTCCCACCTCCTTTAACTTGGCAAATATGCTGCTAGAGTGGTCCTGTTCAAAAGCTTCATGCTCTATCAAGCTGCTATCTTTAGCAATGCACGCTCGCGCCCCTCGCCTTGTTCACCTGCTGGCAGCCAAGTCATTGGCAGGCCTGTGTGACGTGATCCGTCCTCCTGGTCAGATCATGCCACGCTCTCGCTTCGAAGTCGGAGCAGATGGAAGCAATCTAAATCTGAGGCCGACGTCCTAAAAGAACAAGCCGAAAGTAGTCCGAGCGCTTGAATTCTACCACCCAAAGGTGCAAGCATTTTTCAGAGCGCTCCTAAACGCCCAACCGAATACACCAATAGAAATTCTGTGTTCAAGAGATCAAATTTTCAACTAGCAATGGTGTTCGTCCCTAGCAGTTGCCCTGAAACTGACTTGATTTTCTACAAAGCGTGCGTTTTGAAAGCTGCTCTAAAACAGCATTATTACTGCAATAGGATGGAAAGGTGGGCTAGTTGGTAATTCATGATGGTTCAGCGAACTGGGAGCGCGAGGGTAAACACAGACACAAAGCAAAGAAGAGGTACACAGCACGAGCGCTAGACTAACAAGCGCTCGGGCTGTGTGCCTCTTCTTTGCTTTGTGCCTGCGTTTACCCCCGCGATCCCAGTTCGCTGAACCATCAGCATTATTACTGCTCTGAAACTCTGAAGCCCGATTCCAACCCTGCATAAGTTTTCGCAAGGATAGAATAAACGGGAAATATTATTGCTTGATAGAACCTTTCATGCTAGCTTTCATTGCCATAGCTTCTGCTTGTGCTCGATCAGTAACCTGCTTTGCTTATGATGACGTTTCTCGTCAAAAGAACTCTTTGATGTATATGTTGCCGAAGGAACGCTTTCAGAGCACTTCCTTGCTTTTGTCAGCTGGTTCCTTGCCATGCTATACAAGCGCTGACAAATCAGGTGCATTGCACTTGTCACTCAAGTGTTCAGTGCTGTTTAGTCAGTTATACGCTACACGTCTTCTCAATCACTAACACCACAGTGCGTGCATGACTTAAACACTTAGTCATTACTGGTGGGATCTTGTACACAATAATGCAGTTTCTCTGAGAACATTAACCTTTGTAGGATAATGCATTCACTTTCCGTGCTGCTCTAGGCTAAGGACTAGTGTAGTTATGATTGTACCACTTAATTTTTTTTTTTTCCCCCAAACTGTTGCTTGATTGCAGGGTTCAAAGGATAGATTGGCGGCAGGAACGCAAGCTCAACCACGAGACATTTGGCATCTCCGCGAACAACTGGATGAGGCGCAATGCATGGAGGGGTCGAGGGGGAGGTTTCTGGCGTGGAGGGCAGCGCGGTGGCCAGCGTGGCGGCCGTGGTGGAGGAAATCGAGGAGGCAGGCCACGCAACGGAGGCGTAAGTGCAATGTTGACTCGTCATACATTCGGCCTGACCTACAGTAGCCTTCGAGTGAGCAAGCAGCCTAAACTTAGCTGTTTGCCACAGATCAAACTTCCGGGGCGAAGTTTTTGTGCCATTATACGGCAAGAGTTTTTTTTGTATGTTTTGTAGTGTCGATCCTTGCCACTCTGATTCAACATAATGACCCTTTTCACTAGTTTATTTTGAAATTGGGTGCTTGTAGTTTAAAATGCCACAGCACACACCTAGACATGTTTTTCATCAGCAGCTTTTCATACAAAAAATACACTGCACAACTCTTGCCAGTATTTTTCAGGTTTCTGCTCCTATCCTTCAGTTGACTGCGCATTTGTTTCCTTTCCAAAAGTGTGAACCTCTAAATTAAAATCTCTGGAGGGTTTATTTTTATATAACAGATATTCTAAAGCAAATCTTGTGACTGCAGTAACCACTGAAGAGGTGGCACTACAAAATCTGCTCGCTCACTTTCAAATGCTCATCAGCTTCTTAGGCTGGGATTCTCGTAGGCACGCTCAAACCTCAATATAACGAATCCAGATATAACGAATTGTCGGTTGTAACGAAGTGAAACTTCGTCATGGGTAGTGTTAAAAATAAATGTTCATAACGAAATATCAGATAGCTCTTTTCGTGGCAGATGCGACTTCATGAGGTTTGAGGGGAGACACTGGTCTTGAAGGCCCAAAAACTTTCCGAAAAGTCTATTTTTTTTAAAGTATTTTTTTAATAATATATATATAGGGCTTTAAGGTATTCCTGAATTATTTCCATGTAATGTGTATTTGTCGAGTTATTCGGTCTCTTCCGTGACCATTATTCCTTGCGAAACTGCCTTGCAAAACTGTCGTAAAAGGGGGAGATGCGGCCTGTTTAAAAGCGATGTCCGTTTGCTGTGCTGCGTTGAACCATGAGCACAAACTGCGTTGAATGGCTTTTTTTTTTTCTTTCACCCTGAATGTTTCGCAGAGATGCAGTCGTAAAAAGCTTACATGACAGTGGGAATGATTCCTGTTTCATAGAAGGATGCCGCACATGTTCTGCTGACCACTGCGCAAGCACCGTCAAAACGCTGTATGCAGATTTGAACTATGGAAACCCTGGAAACATCTGGCATGCAATAAAAAGAAAGCGCTCGAAGAATGACTTCACTCCTGGTGGCTTTTAGCATCATTACTGCACTGATTTACACTATTACCTGTTGAATATACATGCTCACGGTGTTCCTAAACTTTTCTCGTTTTCTCAAAACATTTTTCATCTAGTTTGAGGTCATTGCCCACAGTATCTTCTCATCTAGTGGTTGTATTTTGATAATTGTTGCAGCATTTGAAACCTTATACAGTCCAGTCCGCATATAACTGCCCCACCTAAAACGAACAATATCCGTGCTACCGTGACAATATATTGTTTCAATGACGCAAAATCGCACTTATGAATATCTCCAAGCGCCGCCAATCTGTTACAGCGAACGGAGTCTGCGCTGTGCAGACTTCCCGGGAAACCACTTTCGACCACGGATGCATCGGCGAGGTGCCCATAGATTATTGTTGCATGCCGACCCTGCCACAGAGCCCCTCTAGTTGCCGCTCTCCCCAACCGCTTTTTGTTGCGCACCCTTCCGTCCTCTGCCCCTGCTACTCTGAGCACCCCGCATCGAGTGACGCGATCAGCGTTCTTGCCACCCATCTTTCGAAGACCAGTCTGCCATCTCTCCAGTTTTTGATCGCTGGTAGTGGTATGTCATTGACGTTGCCGGCCTGAACTGGAGTGACCAGACCATTTGCCAAAATTGTCTGTGTCTTGTCTGATCCCACCCACTCTGATAATTTGTGTTCTTTTCGTGTTTAGGACCTGTTCTCGCTCACTTCACACTCGGCTCAGCATGCCCTCCGCACGCGTGCGGAATCGTAAAAACGGCTGTTCATTTGCGCGCAACGAATCTCGAAATATTGAAGCCTGTAAGGTCTCGCAAACCCGACGGCGAAACGGATTGTTTGACGACGGCCACCCTTTGAACAACGCCGCACGTGCCGATCAAGGCAGCCGTGCTTAAACCCCTGCGCCGTCATTGTACACGCGCGTTTCGCGTACCTTTCAAGCAAGCTGCCCGACCTGCCTCCTTCCCGCGTGTTTTGGTTTTCACGATCGCCTTCCCACCGTATTCTCCCCTCTTCATTCTGTCGCAACTCCTTGCCCTTCTCTTGCAAATCGGTAGGTGCTGAATCTTGCTCCCACAAGGACTGCAGAATATGGTGCCTTTTTTCCTTTCAACCACACCTCGCAAATCGGCTCTCCTCTCTTGACACAACTCCTTCACCAGTCTCCACTGCTCCACGACGCCAACCACGCAGACTCGGATTCGGTTTTGTTTTCCCACTAGCAACACTAGCAATGGGCCCACCAAAGCTGTACCACGCGTTCAGGTGTGTGTTGTGCGTGTGCGCGTCTTGCTCGCTCTCGGTGTGCGTGTGGTTAGGATGGCGGACTGGGGGCCTTGCACGCTTTTTTTGCCGCTCAACAAAACGTTGAAAGTGTGAGCCCTTGGCTTGGGCATAATCCGCGCGTTGGGTGCCGCGTTGAGCAGCACGTGCTCGTAGCTCTTGTTCACCTGGCAGTCAACTTGCCGCTTCGGGCGTCCCGGTATTCAGCTGTGGAGATCGTGAATATTTCGTAGGCAGCGGTGACGGCTACATGCACGCGAAACTGTTTTGGCGAGGCAGACTTTGTCGACGGCGGGTCCGAAGCTTCCGAATAGGATCACTGCGGCGGTGATTTGTGACAGCGCATCGTCGACTCCGACCTGGGAGAGCGTGTGGGACATCTGTTACGATGGTTCAATTACGGCTGATGATGATGCCAACACTGCAAAACCGTGCACGGATTAAGGCGTGAATTAGGTACTGGCTAGAGCGATTGGAGGAATCTGATTGCGAGAATGACAAAACTTTAGAACCAGTGCCTCGTGCAGCTTATGCCACGGCCTCTGCAAAGAGCACGCTGCCACTTGAAATTCTAGACTGCCGTTATCGCTTCTGCTTTTTGAAACCTGTGCATCTTTTTGGGCAAAAAATTTTGTGTTTTCACTCGCAACTTATTTAAAAACTGTTTCATTTACTACGAACTTCGGGATACAGCGAACGGATGCAGAGTCGGGCTCAGGTTCGTTATAAGCGGGCTCGACTGTACATTGAGTGCCACAAGATCAAAACCTTGTAATAATTTTATTAAGAACAGTGATTTAATTAGTGATAAAGTTTACAAGTATATTTATCAGAAATCTGCAACTGTTGCTTAAGGCCGTAACTCTAAAACCACTGAAGGTAAAAATAAAATTCTAGTTTCCTTGCGCTCTGTTCTTTACAGAACACAACCATATCTAATTTGCAGCAATTTTTTGAGAAAGCTGTCTAAACAGTAGGCAGATTGCCAGTTTATGGAACAGTGAATATTTTAAACTCTGGAAGTGACAGCTGATGATTAATTGCATATTTGTTTTCAGCTGTGAGCACAAATTTTCAGCTGTAAATACTCGAAATTAAAAAATTTAGGGCCAGTGTCTCCTCTTAAATGTAGTTAATGGAAAATGAGTGTACAGAAATTCCTTCAATTTACACAAGACCTGTACCACTCCACTTCAGTCTCTATAATTTACTAAAGTAGTGCCATGCGCGTGCGTGTAAGCTCCCCCTCCCCCCCGTGCTTGGTAGTTTCTGTAGTGCAAGCGCCATCCTGCCTTTTCTCTGCCGTGCATTTTCTTTCGCTTCCACGACTACACCGACTTGCCCTCCCCTGTGTGCCGATAGAGGCTATGCCTGTGTCGGTGAACACGCGTTATACTCGCTAGGAGAAACGGCGATCGAACGACCGCGCCTGTCTACGATGTGCACGCGCTCGAGTAGTTCACTTATGCATTTCTGTAGCGATGCAACTTGCTATAATTCACTACCTAACTGCTGTTTAGGTTGAAATCTGGTTGTGGCCTGTGTCACAGCTATGGAGGGAGCAGGCGGCATAGCCTGGCATAGCACATGACACAGCGTATGCAGCCAACATAAAGCGAGCAGATGCTTTAAAAAGGGTCACATAAGCCCGAGACAAAAATAGAACAAGGCAGAAGCTTAAACTTCCGCTGCTTCATTGCACACAGTCATGCCGAGCGCTGCTTCAATCGCCGCATTTCCCGCGCACTCGGTAGTCCAATGTAAGTCGTAACAATGCTGTTTCAAATGGCACTAGAGCACTGTCCAACGTTCTGATACCTTCAGTTTGCCCAAGGGGAATCGGATGGTTTTTGTAGAACGTGCCACACAGCACGCGACGGGTACTTTCGGCCTTGCTCCCTCAACAACATTCGGCCGCATGCACTAATGTCTAGGCGTACGTTTTTCTCTTGCACTTCACGCGCAGTTTTAACACCAGAATATCTGTGCATGCTAGCATAAAACAGTGTGGCAGTCGAACTCATGCAAAAACCAAGGAATATGCCAATTGTAACACACACCGGTAGAGAGGCAGCGGAGAGCAAGAAAAAAATATGCAAAACACAATGGCCACGAGCGAGTGCTCTGGCCAATGAGCATTTGGAAACTTTTCCTTTTGGAAAAGGGACGATAGTAAGTGTTCTGTCAAGGCAGCCTGTGCGGTTGGTTCAGGTGGCAAGTTGACTCCTATGGTATCTAGCAGTACTGCTCTTTTAGCCATTTTTGTACAAGACCAGTGTGTCCCCCCCCCCCCCCCCCCCCTTATAGCAATGGCTCGTATAAAGCCAACGTGTGGTCAACTAGGTGGCTTGTCAGAGGCCTGATCAGGGTGGTTTAGGGGTACCAACTTTTGTTTTGTGCAAATAGCAGAGTGTCTGAATTCACAAGCAGAGCTTAATTTGTGACGAGATCCCAAGTGGCAAAACAACCTTGACAATGCACAATGTTCCAAAGGTATCTAGTGTCGCAATGTGGGAAAGTGAAGTCGAACAGCAGCACTCATTGAAAGTCGCATGCAGTTTCGTAAAACCGCTCCCCTTGCTGTTTGGGAGGAGTAACCAAAAGGCAGAGGTCAATCTTAAGAGGAGACACCGGTCTTTAAAATGTTTAATTTTGAGTATTTAGAGCTGAAAATTTTGTGGTATGCATTTCTCGCAGCTGAAAACAAATTAGTTTTCAGCCATCACTTCCAGATTTTAAAATATTGACTGTTCCATAAACTTATTCTGCCCGCTGTAAAGAACAGATGCAAGGACACCATAATTTTATTTTTAGCTTCATTGGTTCAAGAGTTATGACCTTAACAAATACTAGTCGGATATCTGACATTGCTGCTTAATATCACCATTTAAATCGCTGTTGTTAATGGAATTGTTTTCGTCTCGTTGCACTCATCAATGTATAAGCTTTTAAATGCTGCAAAAATTGTCAATATCCCACCACTAGCTCACTCAAAAGATACTGTAGGGACAATTTCCATCAAGTTCGAGGCCATTGCCCAAACTTTTTCTTGTTTTCTCAAAACATGGTGAGCATGTAAATTGAACACGTAATGGTGTGAATCGGTGCAGTAATGATGCTATAGGTCACCACGAGTCTAGTCATTCTTTGAGGGCTTTCTTTTCATTGCATGCCAGATGGTTCCATAGTTCAAATCAGCATACAGAGTTTTGACTGTGCTTGTGCAGTTGTTACTAGCGTGCGTGGCTGCCTACTATGAAACGGGAATCGTCCCATTTTCACGTAATCTTTGTCTTTGCAGCTTAGTGAAACATTCAGGGTGAAAAAAAAAAAAGCCATTCAACGCTGTTTGTCCGGGATCAACGTGCTCGCGGTTCGCGCGACACAGCAAATGAACGAGCGGCGCGTGCATCTCCCCCCTGCTTTCGGCAAGCTCCGTAGAAATTTCGGTTCCCCGCACTCGTCGCACGTCGGCAAAAGTTTGGGGCAATGCCATATTCCCAATATTTCTCTCAAATGCTGCTGGCCCGCCACACACTCCCCACTTCATACACTGAAGCAGCTTATGACGGTGAACGGCGTTCCAGTAGTCGCCCTCGCTTCAGTCTTAAAAAAAAAAAAAAAAAAAAAAAAAAAAAAAAAAGACCGCTTGAGTCTGGGGCTGACAGCGAGGCAAGGGCCACTTTTTCAGCCACTGAAACGAGGGGGGTGCTCATGTGCAGAACTCCCATGTTATCATCGGCCTGGCTTCTGCGATCGCAGCAGATCACAGCAGCCACGTTCGTGATAGCGTTGGCACAGTCTGCTCTAATCCATGTTCTCTGCAGCAGTGTTCTGCTTATAAGACTCTGCATGCTCTCGGACGCGGTTTTTGCTTCTTTTCAAACGCATGAGCAGTATGAGCACTATGAAACTTTCGATGACCGCCTGCCACCACACCGATTGCACAGCCGTCCCTTAGGCCTCGTCACAAAATGGTGGATTGCATACCGCTGTCTAGCAAAGGAATCCCTTGTCATCCAATAGGAAACCGGGAACTACCCCACGTGATAGAAACGCACCAATGGTGCGAGAGAATTTCTTTTTATTCGCGATGGCTGCGTTGATGCTAGACGAAAAGCGTTCTGCTAGGAACAGACAAGAATACGGCTTTCAAACAAGACCAAACTGGTCGTGCTACTTGGCGTGGTTCTCGGGCACTGCGGCGTCCAGTAGGACCATTTTAGAGGTGGTTTCATGAGGGAAACTGGTTACGGAATTGACTTCGAAAAATTTCCAAAAAATCTAATATTTGAATTATTTCTTTAATTCGGTCTCGGTCTTCAAGACCCGTGCTCCCCTTCAGGCGATTTCTCAACTTTTCCTTCAATTTAAAGAAACGAAGCCTGAGCCCATGGCGGTTTTAGAGAAAAAAAACATTAGTCTTAATTTTTGCTGGCTGACTCGCAGGTGGAAAACGTGAGGTTGGGTAGTTAGTAGGGCGAGCTGTCTCACTTGTTGATTTCGAAATGAGTGGTTATAATTTAGACTTCGTAAACTCTCACTGCAATGACCAGAGAAACTCTTCTCTACTACGAATTTTCTCAATCGTATTGTGGTTTTCTGACCTAAAACCCAAGATGTTATTATACAGTCTAACCCCGCTACAACTAACGCTCAATGAAATTTCCGCCAAGATTTTTTTTTTCCCAGTTAGCAGTCCATAGGAGTCCATGCATAAACATTGTTGCCACAACGAACACTTTTTTTTTTTTTTTTCTGCAGTCCCGCTTCAATGAAATTTCACGATGCATCGAAATGTTAAAGATTGGGTTTCCTGTATAGCAATGATCATCTGAACCTGGAATTGCATTTTCAGGACCTGAAAATGCGTGGACAGTCTAAAACGCGCATTGGCACCACCAGGAACCGCCGCTGTTCAAGGATGGGCGCTGCCATTGCTCAATAGTAATGGCAATGCGACTGCCCTGCCAGGCCCTGCTTTCGCCACTGGCTTGCTTTCGAGCCACAGACGATCCAAAGCTGAAGCTCGGGCGCTCAGTTTATGGTTTCTTTCGCGCAGCTGCTGGGTGAAAATGCAAAGCGTTGCCTTTTCAGATTCCAATGCTTATTATTTTATTCGAGCTTGGCCAGTGTGGTACCTAATCATAGCAGCTGTTCATCTGTATTATCAACCGAAACTGCCAGCAGGGAGTGATGGATGATAAGAATAGCATAGCATAATGCAAAAGTCTCCTCTCCACGATACCCTGCCTCCATCTCGGCATTGTCGGATACTTTGACGGCGGACAGCTGCTGGTGTTAAGGTGTCAATGCAACTGTTTGGTACGTTCACGAAAGCGATTGTAGGAGTTGTTTCAGCGTGGTTTTCACCATGGCCTCGCTATGCACGACTGTGAATCTTGTTATGACTCTGCTGGGAAAGAATAGGAAGCAGCAGGCACTTTTTCTAATTTTAAGAATAAACTTTTTGTTTTGCTAGCTCAGATCAGCTATATTTTCTAGATTTCACTGCAATGAAATTCTTGCTTTAACCAAATATTTTCTGTGCCCCGTACGTTTCGCTGTAGCGGGGTTGGACTGTAGCAATTGCATTTCCATGTCCCCTAGACATGTGGTCACAGGTTCCAGGTGTGTGCCCAGCCACTGTAGGCTATACCAGTGTATCATGAAGTTATCATGCTATGGCTTCGACTCGCAGACATCACGGGCTGTGCAGTCCATTTAGTGTGGAATGCACTTTCGAGTTGATGCTTCCAGCACCTTATGCTCATTTTCAGGTTCCACGGGATGGTTGGTCGTCGGTTCCTCGGGCAGATACAAGCAGCAGTGTGGAGCCCACATGGCCATAGTCTGCATTGTTCTCCCACTGCTTTGCACAGAGACCACTGTATATACCCAGCCATGGGGGCTGGAAGCAGAGCATCACTTGAGACATGGGATGTAGGGGCATTTTTTGGCAGAGGCATCTATCTGTTCATTGAAAGAAGCAAAAGGTGGCTTCACACCTTTTAGTGCACTGTGGGATTTGTGCAGGGTACCTGAAGTTTTCTTTAGTAGTAAGAGTACCATCTGCTTCACTGTGTGCACTTTTTTTTTTTTCGTTACAACAAAATTTACGCTGAGACCTGAAGTCTTTCACCCCTAAATTGCCTTTCTGTTCATATGTGCAGCCTAACATAGCCCATGCATTACTTTGTAATATTAAACATTCTCCTGTGTCTCTGCAAGCAACGCACAACCGAATCTTATTTATTTTGTACTGTTCAAAAGACTCTGTCGAGAAACAAGCTGCCTTGACTTTCTTTATGGCCATATTTTCAAGTTTATTAGTCCCTCCCCCTTCTTGCCTTTGACCCCTTCATTGAAATCTGAGGGGGGTGATATGGTCCAGAAAAATAAAATCTTCAATTCGTATACCTGTTTGTTATTTCTCCAGTGCCAAATTTTGGCGCCACTTGCTCTGTGGGCTTTGAAAACATTGCAGGCTTTCCAGTTTATTCGCATAAACTTCGGCATGTTTCTCCATGTCCAGTTATTATACCCAGTCTGCGCGAGACTTTACATATTTACTGTTCGTGTTACAATTTTATCGATGCATTTTGTGCATGCGTATACCACGTCTACCTGGAAGCCTATAGTGGCGAGAACAGTCGGGGTGTCCACCAAGCTGGGAAAGACATGTTGAGGGGGGGGGGGGGGGGGGGGGAATAGGCATTTCTGAAAAAACAACCAAGGGCATAGAAGTAATGGTGGAATGTACAGCAGTCGCGAAAATTACAATTGCCAATGATCAACGCTTAAAACCTACAAACTAAACTGTGGTTGCAGCTGTTAAGCAAGTCTTCTGTAGGTCGTACAGTACCTTCGCAGCACATTACTTGTGCTCAATAGTTTGTGCATATGTGTTGGCCACGATTGGGCTCTACTTGAAGGCCTGATGGTTAGTGTAGAAGTACCACCAGCAGTGGCTTGCCGGGTTATGTCGAGCTTTGCAATTGCATCGCCACTGAATGAGATATACTTGCGTAAACACCGGACCACAATGTTAAAAGTGTTTTAGGTGGACTGATGACTCCTCCGGAAGCGAAGCACTTCTGTCCTAGTTTTGTGGAGAAGGTCAGAGATGGCGCCGCAATAACCGTGGCCCGGGCGCAGGTTGCTTCAGGGCTTGGGAAGCAACTGGGGGGGGGGGGGGGGGGGGGGGGGGATGCCTTTGTTGAAGAGTTCAAAAGTAAATTATTAAAAGTTGCGAACGATTACTACGTTGTGACAATACAGCGCAGATAGCTGTGGAAAGAGTTCAATTAACCAGCTTGAAGGTTTGCGATAGGAGCGTATGTTTTGACATTCACAAACATCAGATTGTGTATTTAAACGTGACGGTAAAGTCCCGTGTAGTTACGACAAAAGTTAATACTTTGTTGAAGTAATGTTTACATAGTAGTTGTACAAAAATGGCTTGGCTTGTTATGAAGTCTTGCAGTAGAAGGCGTAATTTTTGTTTGTCGGGGCGGTCTCGTTATGAAGACCACCTAGAGTGCTGTGCGATGAGAAGCGTGTACAAAAGTCGACAGACGAAACACCATTTTGCAATGTCTGTGCACGTTAAAGAACACCACATCGTCAAAAATTCCAGAGCCTTTTACTACGGCGTGCTTCATTCATATCTTGGTTTCGGAGCATAAAACTGCAGATATTTTCATTGTTAACAAACTGCAATATTTTCATTGTTCTCACTCCGGGAGAGAACAACACATGTTGAGATTTTTCAATGCAAAGGAGCAACTCTTCATATCGCTGTAATAAAATGTGCCGTTTTTTAGTTAGAGATGCATCCATATCTAAACGGCCACTAACAGAATAGGACAGTACTTCAACTCGGAAAGAAAGTAGTATTGGAAGACACGTGTAAAAAACGAAAGCTATGCATTTTGACTTTGGTGTTGCAACTTACTGGACTGCTTTCGAAAGGTTGCGCAACTTTTGAGACTTGTTGGCCTCGTTCTTTTTCATTTGGTTGAAATGTTGGAGCATATGCACTTCTACATTTTCGCTCGGCTTCTTTCAGAAGACCAAATAGCACGGAATTGGAGTGCGTAAGTCCTCCTCTTGTTTTCAAAACTACAAGAGCTGGTTCAGCTCTTGACATATCAGCTGTCCCAGTCAGTTCAAGCTAGCACTTGGAACAATTTGTATTTTTCAGATTTCGACAAAGAAACCCACATAGTTAATTATGCAGTCGGTAGTGCTGTCTGATGCAGGCAGCGAGTTAAATACATCGTCGGACATAATCTAATTCTGCACCAACCCGTCAAGCCTGTTCTTAAGCTCATCCAAGCGGGATTGGCTGGGCCTTCCTTGAAAGCATGTTAAATCGCGCAAGCTAAGGAGTCTTGGTTCTTCACTGGGAAGTAACTGGAAATTCCCGTACGCGTATTTGGCCCCGCATCGCACGAAAGAGGAAAAAGTAAGTACGAGGAGGACGCAAGCGTCAGGATTGCTCGCGTGCTATTGGGTCCTCCCTGTGGGTGACGTGCACGCCTGTAGGTGACGCACGCATGAGCCCGCGATGGAATGTGCGGAGTTTTCTTGGCTGTTCCATCGTGCGGAAGCACCCACAACCTGCCGCCACTCTGCCTTTCTGTGTCCCCTTTTCCCTCTCCCTGTAAGCTGAACCGTGCTGCCCATTCAATCAACCACTACCTCATACGCGTCACTTCTGGCGTGGTCGACGCTCATGTGTGAATTAAAGTTCGAAATTACCATCTAACGCTCGGCCATGTGCATCGCGCTTCCGTCACACACCATACCAGTTCCAACTGCTTTTGCAGAAACGCGATTCCGACTGTCGTAGCAGATGCTCGCGTCAGAATTAGACGCCAGCACATCAGATGTAAAGCATGTTTCGGTCGACGACGGGGTTCCGAATGACGGCAGTCACGCGCACATTTACGTGCGGAAAAGACGCCAGTTTGGTCGGCCCATTTGACGTGAAGTACCTCCTCGTTCACCTCAGACGGATGCGCACCAGTGGCTCGCCAGCTAAAGCAAGGCAACTGATACGACCATCCACGTCGTATTAGTTGCCTTGCTGCTGTCTGTGCTGAAGGTGTCGTGGAGGCACTTCACGTAGACAGTCGGAACCTCTTAGCTCATTGAAACCATTAGTTGATAGCAGCGCGGTGTCGTCTCTTCCTCTGTCCTTGTCTATATTTTTGCGCTGTTTTTACACCCAAAGCATGAACCACCAACTAGCCCAACTTTCGCTATTATTGAAACCATCACCGTGCTATCGCCATCTTATCCAAACTCACTCGCTCGCGCCCTCGCCGCACGGTAGCGATCCATCTAGGGCACTGAAGGGGCGAGGCTGCTTCCGCACGATGGAACAGCCGTAAACACTTCTCTGTGTTTCCGTGACTCTGCTATGACATGACGATAGTTATAGTGCGAGAACAAAACGACGACACGGAGACAAGAAGGACACGAAAGACACGAGCGTCATGCCATACCAACTAGCCCAAGCTTCCACACTTCTGCTATGACGACAGTGACTGTCAGCGTGTCTTCGAGAGATCGGCGGCTGAGTGAAAATTCGCCTCATGTCTTTGCTTCAAACTACCACGAAGCAGGCAATCTTGGGAGAGTTAACAATGCCCTCTCCGAGGCTTCCGCGGTGTCTGAATAGGCAGCTCGAGCACCCAACAGAAGTCTTTTCTTCGCTCCCCTATTGCGTATCCCCAACCCCGTCCCTGGTTACCACGGATTATGGCGGGGGCTGAGAGGAGTGGGGAGCATGGCTGAAAATGAGGTGCAAGTTCAGTCGGTGTTGCTGCGTCACGAGCGTGCGCGTCACCAGCCAACATCCTCTAGCTAGTCTAGAGGGTGTTGCACCAGCACGTCACCTCCAGAGGCGAACCAATTGCGCGCGAGCAACGCTGGCGCTGGTGTTCTCCTCACACTCTTTCTTTTCTCTCTTTCGTGCGATGCGGGACCAGCAATTCCAAATACGCTTCCTGTACTTGGGTGGCTTTATGAGACTGTAAATGGATAGCATGCTGAATAATTGCAAGAACGTCGGCAAGCAGGGATGTTCATTTTGGCCTTCAGCTTGGCGTACGATACCAAAAAACTTCTCCGAAACATCTTTAAAAAGTATTCTTACAGCTGAATTGTCGACAGAATCGTCACTCGCAAGCCCTAAGCAGTGGTTCGTGAAAAAAAATATACCGTGAGGATCAATTCGTCCTGCGTTCAGTTCTTGCTCTCAATTATTTAGTCATTGTGAAAAGAAATTTAGCACTTTAAAATCCTTTCCGCCTAATCTTAGACCTTCCTTAGGGTGTCTACTATTCAAGGCATAAAAATGTTGTTCGTTCGCACTGTGAAATGACTTTTTTCGTGCATGTGTTGTAGCCAGATTTGCACTCGGGCGCAATACACTTCTTTCCCAATTCACGGCTTCCTCACACGAACAGCATCAACTCTCATCGCGCACTTGCAAAAAAAAACCAAAACAAGAGTACAACGTGCCGTTGTCAGATAGGAAGTAGACGCGGCGCCCGGAGGCGCTTTCTCTCAGAGTCTCACGTAACTGATCAACCTATCATCATCCATACGTCTGTCCCGGCATGTCCTCCCTCCCAGGGTCGTGTGAGGGGGAAGCTTTGTTTCGGGCAGATGGCCATACCCTGGCAAGGGGGCCGCCGCTTGGCGTCAGACGCGGCCTACCTCCCGGCGCAAAAGCCAGGGCCTAACATAAGGGCTACCCTTCGGTGCGGAAACGTCGATGACAACACGCAAAGCGGACGTACCTTGACAAGGTGGGCTATCGCAGCGCGTGGGGCGCACTGCGATAGCCCACCTTGACGGCCCGTCTCCTGACCGTTAGGACCTAGTGAGACACAATCCGTCCTTTGGGGACTACTGGACTACTGTTTGGTGCAGAAGCGAATGCCGCTGCATGCAAACCCAACGTACCCTGGTAAACCAGCATGACCAAAAGCCGGCTTAGCCCTTCTCGAAGAAGGGGCCAACACGAACCTTGCGGATAAAGCCCGACAAGGCGACAAGATTACCGTAGCGAATGCAAAAACCAGGCGAACATGCTAAACTCGGGGGTGACCGGCTCGCTAGGCCGAATCGTGGAACTCTAAAGAACGCCATCATTAAAAAATTGATGGTTATCTGCCCTCCTGATTCACTGAAAATTAATGCTGGACGGTGGCACATTTCGTAAAACTCCTTTGCACCTACGCGCTGCCACTATCTCTGGAGAACGAACCAGACCTCCTTCCGTACTTTTGCAAGTACTTCGTGAAGCCCGGGACGTCTCCCATCAAAGAGGGTACGGCACCGTGCCACCCAGACTTGGTAGGAGCACTCAATGAGCAGAAGCACGTGCTGCTTAACCGC